AGAAACAGATTCAAAGTTGTAAAGTAAGACATAAAATCTCAATTACATTTAGTAAATACGCTTTCATTTATACGTGGCTACATGTGTGCATCTCACAAATCATGTATCCAGAGAATATACTCTGTATTGATAATGTCACTGTGTGAATCAGTTTATTTGTTACTGTTATTTTCCCCCTGAATTTTGTGGCCAAAGTGTTTCTTTTGTATTATTATTTAAAGGGGAAAAATTGTTTTTAAAGACATAATGATATAAGAATCTGGACAAAAGTTTGATTTTAAATGCAGAATGAGTAGGATTTGTCGGTTGCCCCTTTTACTTGCCACAGCAACACCAGAAGCACGTGCACCCTGACCGCAGTTCCAGAACACAGCCCAATGTACCAGCTGCAGCAAAAAATACCTACATAAGGCTGTGACTCGAGCGGTATACCTAACTACCTTTGGGAAAATTTGGGATTTTTGATTACCACGATGAAGAAGAGGTTGAGGAATGAGAGCTAGAGCTAGAACTAAAGGCAAAGGCAGAGTGAATGCCAAAAGTTGATGACCAGAAATGTCCCAAACACAGCAAATTAAGAAAATGCAGGCACAGAGGGCAGGGTCTCTGCAGACACAGACACCAACACACACTTTAAGTGGGTCAGGTGAACATAGAGAGGAATTACTTTTGTATGGGTGTATGCATTGTTTCTTAGGAAACTCCTTCTCATTGTGCCTTTTAAAAATGCCAATTGCGGCACAAACTGCTTAATAATTGTTGTTTGGTAACTGTGAAAAAAGCTAATAGAAGAATAACTTCTGCACTTACCACTATTTAGCTAGTGAGTTAACAGCAATCCATAAACACAAACACATGAATGAATTGTATTTTTCAACTATGAGTGAATTATTTGAAATCACCGGAGATACTTTTTTCTGTTGCTTTAATGACACAGGAAGTACTACGGTTAATTTGAGTGTAATCTCAGTGTAACTTGATGTCCGATAGCTACCGATTCGTCCACGATGCTTGAAGTGAATGGGGTAATGGGGTCTGATGTTCAAGCTTCCTGAATACTTATTACTTTCACCGAAATAATTTCGTTTGGTTTGCAGGTGCATGCATTGCCTTCTATAGATGCAGCTCAACAATTGTTGAACCCACAAACATACAGTATATACAAGACTATATAATCTTTATAATCTTCAGCACTGACAAAATGAAGAAACACCCGCACGTTGATGCAGATTCGTGGGGTAAAATCCATTAACCCATATATTCCAATTGAAAATGTTTTCTCCACACCAATGACACAATTATATGACAGTTTATATGCGTCTATGTGAGTGTTTTTGTGTTTTTACAAGGGGGGGGGGCGCGAAGACAATGACCCACATACTCTAGCACACCTCCTCCAGTCATGCTGATACTAATTTGACACATACAAGGACAAATTCGCAGACACTCGCACACCCCCACGCACACACAGACACACACACGCAGAGGATGAGTCATTGCAGGATCCTTAATTAGGACCATTTAAGCATGTTATGTGTGTCTTGCTTACACGCTCTTCTTTCCCTCCCTAATTCCTTCTGCTCCTCGTTCCTTCCTCGTCGTGGGTAAATATAGAAAGTTTTCAGGGTAGTTTCCCTCCTGAGAGACAAGACGTGGGCAGTGGGTTAAAACTATGTATGAGATGAAGAAAGACGGGGGAGAGAAGGAGAGAGTAGGGGTTTCATGATTGTGCTATCTGATGCGTTGGAGTGTGTGGATGGATACAGTCAATACTAGAATAGGGGGTGGAAGGGCTTAAAGCATTGAGAGAGACAATACAGCGTGTATAGGGTATATTGTGTAGTGTGTATTTCTTACAAAGCATTTAGCTATCTCTTGTTGATAAAATCACCAAAGTGGCAACAGATGGACTTTGGCAGAAACAGACAGGTTATGTGATATGTGTTCATAGCACACCTTTCCACCAAAATCAACTCACTTTACACTTTACACCTCCCACCTGTTTGTGCTTCTCCTCGCACCTGTGCACCATACGCTGTGCTCCCGGATAAAATACCGCACAGACAGGCAAAGCGAATCAGGAAGGTCAGGAAAATAATGGTTGGAGCGCTGCTTGCGCTGGTTGTTGCACTGCCATGAATGTAGAGCCTATAATGACATGATCAGCAGCTCGCTTGTAAAGTAGTGTTCAAACAACAAACAAGAGCATATACAACACTTAAGGATTATCAAGTCACTGTAGTTGGATGTGGTCAGAAGTGTTGCACCTGCACCTACACCAAGCAGTGATGTCATGGTCAATTGACAAACCCTGGAGTACACCTCTGCATCCAAGCAGCAAGGTGAGGGGGTAGCATAAACAAGATTTCCTGCAAACACAGCTGTTTTGATTTGTTTTTGGAAGATGCAAGAGTGTTTCTGCTTTAATTGTGGGCATTTATCATTACAGTACAGATTCCTCCTTTATTTACGGAGAGTCCCGACTCACTTCTGGATTAGCAAACACAAAGAAAGAATGATCAAAAACACAGTGTTGTGAGAAATGGAGAGAAAAAACAGATGTACATGGACAGTCCACTGCACAAGAGTGTTGCACTTTGGCTGAGTAAACAGTTGGTGTAGTTCAATAAAAAGATTGCATCTTCACTTGATAGATTAGCTCTCCAGCTATGGTTTTCTTTTCCATCTAGAACAATAGGTCTTCTGAAAGTGCTGACTCATGTAACCACATGCATGTGTTCTAATACTTAGTGTTTTATGTGATATAAAAGAAGAGTTCAGACCACAAAATCCGCCTCCACAGATAAAATAATTCAAAGGACTATCAGCTTTCTAACAATCACAGGATTAAATTTAAGTATAAAATTGCAAGTTCCGTAGAAGCAGCAGTTGGCGGAGAGTTAACACTGCTACTTTTAGGACTTCAATTCCCACTCAAGCCTTCAGGAACAGCACTGGACTGTGTGGTATGTGCCAGGCTCATGGATCCAGAAAAACTTTCCACACATACATAATAATACTAATGTCTGTAAACTAAAAAGCGCTTTCCCTGGGCATCACACATGGAAAGATTTCTCATTGAATTATCACAGTTACAACCATTAGGCCCACTAAAATTTTAAGGCAAAAAGAATTGTATCATAACATTGATTTGGTGCAGTTTATGTTTGTTATGGGCACCCACAGTAGGACATTTTAGGTGTGTGCACTGGGTGGACAGCTTTAATTTAAATAAATAGACCGCTATTTACCTTCCTCATCCACGTTTTAATACATCTGAGTTCCCACAGAATAAATAAAGTAGTTAAGACTGTATTTAAAAGATCATTTTACGTAATTTGTGGTTTGTTTACGTGTGTGTGCCTCTGTCTGTATTTGTGTGTGTGTGTGTGTGTGTGTGTGTGTGTGTGTGTGTGTGTGCGTGCGCGTGTGCCCGTCCGCACAGGCAGAATTCTCTCCTACCAATTAGCAATGACACAGCTGTGCTTTTCCCTCCTCATCTGTTCCTCGGTGGGTTTCATTTGAACAATAATCTGCTTTAGATACTGCCGTGCTGCTTCCAAAGCTCACTAGTCATCAATATCAATGCTTGATCCGACACAACTGCAAGCTCATGCACACATGCAGGTAACAGCCAAAATAGACATCCAAAAGAAATGGAAGAATCAGATACAAAATGCAAGTCATTAGTCTGCGTCTCTCTCGCATTCAGCTCTGTTGATGTATGGTCGTGTGATGTGTTGTGGCACAGTGACGTTTTACCTCTTTGAAGTAGGCGAGGCCCCTAAAATATTCTCCTTATGTAACTGTCCCTGTTGCAAGGCCGCATGAGGCTGTGTGAGGGAATGTGTGATGGTGCTGGGTATGCCTCTGAATGTGTACATGTGCTTGTGTGTGTGTGTGTGTGTGTGTGTGTGTGTGTGTGTGTACAGTATAGTGCGCATCTGTATGTGCTCGTATTCCTGCGTGTTTGAAAGACAGACAATGCTTTCTGCTCTGTGAATTATGCAGACCAGGATGAGGGTGCAGGGCGGGGAAGATCCGACAGTTACACAGCTTTCAAATTAGAAGAGTCAAAACACCAGGCAGAAAACACAACCACGTGAAACAGAATGGGAGGGAAAGAATGAGAATTAAGTGGATATAGAAAGAAAAACTGGGGAGAGGAAGACAGGAAGTGAGACACAGAGTAGGAAAGGGCCGGATGGGGGGAGAAGGGTTTAGGAAATGGATTGGACTGAGACCACTGAAAGGGGAAAGAACATTTGGGGCTAAGAGAAAATGGGACGCTGGGGTTTACAGGATTCATGGTATCTTAAAGGCGATATTTAGTTGTATAATGAGATATATATTGTGGAAAGGAAACCAGAAGCAGAAAAGGGAGCAACACAAGAAAGAGTAAGGCAGAGAATTCATTCGAGAGTTTGACAATAACTTTGATATCTACAGTCCCTTCTCCTGTACAAAGTGTGCAGAAAAACCCACCTGCTAATTATGCATAATTACTCTAAATAGCGTGATTAGCAGGCAAGGAGCCATTTTGTGTGGAACAGTGGGGGATTTATCAGTGAAAGTCTCTCTCTCTCTCTCTCTCTCTCTCTCTCTCTCTCTCTCTCTCTCTCTCTCTCATGCACGCACGCACGCACGCACACACACACTCATGCCACAGTAACAGAGCAGATAGAACAAAGTGGGCTGGTTAATTTTAGTACAGGTACTAAAAAAAACTCTTTATAATAAGTAGAAAGCTTACAGTGTCTTGACAATACAGTCATGAGACATCACAAGTGTCACATTTGCACATTGTTAAAAAAAGTTCAGTTTATTTATAGATTAAATACTGCTGATGTAATAAAGCCTATTAACTATCCTTGTTTTACTTTCCTTAACTTCCCTCTCCACATTTCTGCCCCTTTTTCTGTATTGTTCATCCCTGTTTTCTTCTCTACAATCACTCTCCACTGGCTGTTTCCCCTGCACCCACTTGTTTTCATGTGCAGGTATTGGTCAAGGTGTGCCTGTGGTGGCTCTGATCGTAGAGGGAGGCCCGAATGTGATCTCCATTGTACTGGAGTACCTCAGGGACACGCCTCCCGTCCCTGTGGTGGTGTGTGACGGCAGCGGCAGGGCCTCTGACATCTTGGCCTTTGGACACAAATACTCTGAGGAGGGAGGGTACGTGTGTACATGTGCACAGTATGCTGTAATCGAAGGAGAAACGCTTAGTAATAATCATTTTATCTAGTGTAGAAAAAGCAGTCACTCTGTGGGAATATTCTTCCTAAGATTGTTATCAGAATTGTCCTTCTGCAGCTAAGTTTTTTTGGAAAAAGATATGGTATTAGGATAAAAACCTGAAGTGATGCAATCGCTTAAAAAAGTGCATACACTTTCTGAAATGTGCTGATGCATTACTTTAATAACACACAGTAAACATTTTTGGTTACATACCTCATGAGACACATAAATGACTTCAAATGGTTTTATATCCAGATACAGATAAAGGTAAACTGGCAGAATCACATCTCACCAAGGACTTTGATATAGTAGTGCTGGGACTACAGTCAACCTTGGTTTCAGTTACTGACAAATAAATCTAATTTGCCTCCTTCCCCCTAACCGTTTTCTTCTCCTTGCCTCTGACCCTCATCCCCACACATCTCTGTACAGCATAATTAATGAGTCTCTAAGAGACCAGTTGCTGGTGACTATCCAGAAGACTTTCACCTACAGCCGCACACAGGCCCAACATCTGTTCATCATTCTCATGGAGTGCATGAAGAAGAAGGAGCTGGTGAGTGTCACTTTCATGCATGTGCACATACAAACCTGCATGCACATATACAGTATTTGCACATGCATGTACAGTATATAACATATGAGCAGTACATACAGAATAAAACTGATGCACACACAGGCTCACATGTGCACACCACATTAAACCTCTAATAACAACAATATTGCCATCCACTTAAGCTTCGATGTCTCTGCTGTATAAAGAACGAGGAACAAAATGGATTTGTCAAATGAAGCTTGCTCATCATGAAACTCTTATTGAAGCAATTATAATCCCATCTTTTATGCATGACATGTAATGTTAAGTGGATGTAAATCTATTCAAATGACTTTCAGGACCAAATGGCCTCCACCTTGAGAGTCGGTGTTTAGTGTGTTTCAGTCAAGACACACGTCTTGTCAAGTGTGGCTGTCACACCCATGCCTCTACCCTGTGGAGAAGTCTCAGTCCCTTTAGAACACTGTCATTCACATGAAGCCAACCTCTTAGGTAGTTGTGATATGTATTTATGTGACTCTATGTGTAGTGTATCTGTACGTTTGTGTGCACATGTTTATCTTGGTAATTTTGATCACAGTAGCAGAGGGTATGATGCTTTCTTGCCACAGTCATTGTGGTATATGGCACACACACACACACACACACACTGTCATTGAAAGAGTTAAACAAGCAGTGCATACAGTGCCCATGCAAACACCCACACACAACCTTATACTCATTGACAAGATGATAATGTAACACATCATCTATGCTGCAAATAAAAGCTAGCAGTGTTTACTGTATCTTAGTTCTGCATCAGTATTGACTTATTTACTACTTGGTTGCTCTTGCCTCAACTCACACTGAACATATTGTATAATGTCTTTTGTAAGTGAGGTGAATATTTCCCAGATCAGTGACTGTTGGTACTGCTGGTTGGCAGTGTCATTTTGCTAATAAATTAATAATTAGTAGCATCCAACACACTCAAGCTTAATTTTATCACAACTTGTGAAAATGAAAGTGCTGAGTAAGAATCCAGTTTATCTTGAAACATAATGACTGAGGTGTTTGAGGTGGCTCAATCATACGATAGTCTTCCAGTTTTATAAAAATACTGTATGTGAATAATTTAAATATTTTATTATATGTTTCAGTTTATACAGTATGTTTATATATATATACACACACACAAACACACATATATGTGAAGAAACACCGGAACAGCACACACAGAGCACAAGTAGTATTTTGCAGGCAGCCCAGAACTGGTCATGGTTGTGCAGCGTGTAAGTGGATTGATTGCGTCCTCAGTGGGGTTCCACTGGCTGACTGATGCTCACACTGATGGATCTTCTGAACACAATATACCAGAGCAGAACAATAGAGAGTGAGTCACTCAGCAGGAGCAGCTGTAGAGGCCAGATAATCTGATGCTGCATCTCTCTGAACTTATAAAACCGTTGCCTCTGCCATTCTCAAACTGAAATGTATTGCACTGAATGTTCGTTTTGTGAATAATATATATTCACTTATATATAATATAAGTCCACCACCCTTGCATTAATATGTCTGCATTTTACAGGCCCGTTAGGTATTTGTCTGATAATCCATTTACTGCCAAAGGAAGTTTGTTCAAATGCAAACATGTGGGGCTACACTAAGAAATATGTCATATGTGGCTTATAACCTTAACAAAGCTATAAAACATTTACCAATGACATAAAACTTTGGTAGCATACTCTCTGATAATATATTCAGTGGAAGCAATCCTCATCCTTGTATTACTTTCATAAAAACTCAGGCTTTTCTCAGTGGACACATACTGCAGTCATTAGTGCCCATGTACCATGCAGAGAGTCTCAAAGACACAAAGTTGATTATGGTTGTTGGGAGAAAGAGAGAGAGATGGATGTGTCACCTCCTCTTATTTATAAGGCTGATAGGCACCACAGAGGTTCCTTCCTGATCACACTCAGAAAGCCCTTGATTGGAGGGGAGTTACTGAAAATGACAATGATCAAAAGATAGTTCCCATTGCCCCATGTAAAGCCTGAAACACTTTTGTCTTGGCTGGGCTCAAGACACCCCAAAAAGTGGACCATACACATGTCACTGTGTGGGGATTAGAGAAACCAGAGCATGGCGTATCAGTGAGATCAGTAAGTCAGGAGTCCTCCAAAAGTCATACAACCTGTGTTAAAGCCACTCACTTGATTCCCGTTCAGACCAAACTTTTGAAATCTCAAATATTCAAATGTTAAAGGGCAACTTGATAAAAGCAGCACATCCCTTTTGAGATGAGGCCAAACCAATGTCTCAGGAGAAGTTCTTCTGGACCCTACCCAACAACAGTAGTTTAACATGCAGGGTCTGAAGGACCAGATTTCTAAACTTGTTTGTTATCCTTACTTACACAATAACGTCAAATATGGTCCTAAATTGTGAACAAACTGTTCATCATGTCTAACAGTAAGTTAACTACTGTCTGCATGGTCTTCTGTGTCATACTGAAGCGAGAATCTCCAGGTCTGAGAAGTGAAGCCAATGCGGACGTGCCTTAAACTTGCATTCTTTCTTTTTCCTGAGAAACCTGCCAACCACACGGACAGCACACTTAAAAACAATCTAAAATAACTAACTAGTCCCAGATCCACGTAAAATACCTAAAACCTACAAGTTCATTGTGTTTTATTCATGCAACACTATTAACATGTAGTGGATGAGTGCAGTTCAAAATGCACCCCCATTGACATTACTATATTTAAAACAGTGTTGCACAGGATTGATGAGCTTCAGTTTATTAAAATTGATGGCTGCAATATTTATACTGGAGATTAGAAAAAAAACATTACTGAGACTGAAGGGGGGGTAGGTGAATTACTTTTATTCATTTATTCACACTGTTAAGTTAATGCAGATGACATGAATGTCATTTAGACTTGAGAGGTCTAGACGATGCAACTAATACCTACTATAGGGATGCATGTTCGAGTTCTGTAGCAGCTGTACTGCAATCTCATAGCAGTTATAGAAACCTGGATTTACCCTTGTATACCAAAGTCAAATAGTGTCAAACCCATGTTAACACTCAGGTCAGGAGCAGGGTCGCAAAACAGTTGGGTTTCCTCACTCACACTGGCAGCAAGTGTGGGTTTATCCAGGGTCAGTGCAGCGGTCTGAAAGGGGTAACGGTGTGAGAGAGATAGAGGCAATGAGAGTGCGTGTTTGTCTGTGTGCCAGTATGCCCGTGCTTTCATTTTTCTGGCTCTGCAGTACGAAAGCCAGAGAGTAGGAGGGAAAGAGAAAGACTAAAGGTGACTGGCTGGGATATTGTATGAGAGAGGGATAGCGAGTGTGTGTCATCTTAAGAGGGCAAGTGAAGAGAAAGAGGAAGACTTAAGAAAGGCTGTGTCTTGCTTTTTCCTTATTTTCAGCATGTTGGTTTATTCATGTAGACATTTTATGCTTCAGTTATTTCCCTGTTGCCTCTGCTTTGTTTATCATACGCACAGCTGTTTATGCTTTATATCAAGAATGCAATAAACTTTCAACCGCAATGCGTGCACACTGAAAGGTATATCTGTGTGTACTAGTGATAGACCAATTAATCGGCCTGCACTCACAAGGTGATAAACAAATAAATGTCTGCGGACACAAGTGCAGCGGCCTTGTCGGTGTGGCTGCTGTGGAGCAATGTTAGCTAGGGGAGGGCCCCCGTTAAATATATTATATGTATGTAGAGAATAATGTGGTTGAATATTATCGTGCTATCTTTACCAAAAGTGGAAGAAGCCTTGTAGCCATTTTTTGCTTTAAACTTGTCATTTTAAGATGCCACATGATGAATTTGACCATTAATATATTGTTATGTACCCTGTACGCAGGATAAGCGGTTGACGATGGATGGATGGATGGATATTGTTGTGTAGTTTGTTAGGCAGTATCAAATGAAAAAAAGGGCTCTGTAGCTGCAAAGAAGGGCTCTTTGCATCTACAAACAATAGTCCCAATTATCTGCTTTATACTTTCTCTTGGTCTAATTTAGGAGTGTGCTGGCTCATCTCCCAGTGAAAAAAATCTGTTCTGATAGATGATAGATTATTAGATTCCAAGGAAGGGTAAGGGGAAATAATTGCGAAGCAAATCACTGCAAGAGTGTTACTGAGGGGTAACATATGTAGTATAATATATACTGAATAGTATGTGTATTATGTGTTATATAAGTGCAATGAAAAGGAATACTAAAATAAAGCATAGGCCTTATTTGTATCAATTTGTCTGGATGATAAGAGTAATTATCTTCCTCGTATATGCGCATTACTTATCTTGTTTCTTTTATTCTACCTTCACAAAGGTGGAACAGTTTCATATGAATGTCATACAAGCACACTGAAAAGACAACAGGTTGTCTCTAAATATTTATACGGTCTGATTTTAGCTTTTTTTTGCTAATGTAGGTCTAATTAAAAGAGAAGTGCCTCTTTCACCCTCCCCCTCCCTCTCTCTTAAGTGAGGATGGATGCAAGATGACTGTCCTGGTATCTGACAAGAGAGAGTCGGAGGAAGACAGGGAGAGGAAAACAGTAACTTAAATGGACCATGAGAGAGGGAGGGTGTGAGGGACAGATGGAGAGGGGAAGGCGCACACAAGAAGTAAGAGAAGGGAAAACAATACGGTATGGGTAGAGCAAATGTAAAAATGAGGTAGTTTGTGCCACAAACGGAGAAATATGCTAGAAGAAAGACAATCCCTTGGTTGATTAACAGCAAGGCAGTTTATCAGTTTAAAATTTCATGAATACAGAAACTTATTTCCCTGCAGACTGCAGAATGGTTTATCCTAGAAAGTAAATTCACACAGATGAAACCATTAGCAGAGCTTTGTCAAATATGAACTGCTACCATTGTTAATGTATGAACTGCAGAAGATGCTGTGGAAACCTGTGTGTGTATGAGTATGTGGTGTCGACCTAGCCTTGTCTGTACATGTAGCAGCATCAGCAGGGTCTTTGCCTGTTAAATGAAGATGAATGTTTTCCAATCAGCTTGGCTCACTGCAGCGTGAAGAGCAGTTTTCTGATCCTCTAAGCATGTAGCTTAGCTTCTCTGAAGATGTGGGAGTCCTCCGACAAAACCCAGTCATACTGAGAAAGATTGAACTGCCTCTTCCTTTTTCATTCCTTGTATCCGCCTTCAATCTGTCAACACAAAATCTCCCTCCTTCTGTCTTCCTTTGCTTTACACGTGCGTCCTCTTTCTGATGTCTCACGTCTATCCTCCTGATCCCAGTCTCCACTCGTGTCCCTCTCTTTATTGTTCTCGCTCCTTTCCTCTCTCCTCTTTTCTTGTCAGCCGAGAGATTGAGTACGACAGAGACAAGTCAGTACCCTGTCTCTTGAATGTTGACCATTGAGGTGATGACTCAGTGTAGAGGCAGGGAGCATTTAAAGCTATTTCAAAATTCAGAAATATTTGAGAACACCTTTGCTTGTACGAGATGATGAAAATAGATGGGGGAGCGAATAGATAGTAGAGAAGCTGTCTGTTTACCTTTGCACACGCCTATTGACGCTGTGACTAAATTAGCAACGTTGTGTTGTCATAGCGGTTGTCTTGTTTAGCCTCTGCATTTGAGACCCTTTATGATAACAGGTAGCGCATATCCACCGGGTCACCTTGGGGGTGTGATTGGAGGAAGGGAAGAGGGAGGAAGCGGGCAAAGATGAGAGGAGGGGGAGGAGGGGGAGGAGGGGGAGGAGGGTGCTAGTGGGAGGTTGTTGTAGAGTTGGGGGACAGGGGGAGGATGATGGATGAAACAATGGATGGATGGCAAATATCTTCTGTAATCATCATCTTTTGTCTATCACACTGTCATCCATCTTCAGTCCTTAAGGCAGCCAGGCACTGTGTGTGTGTGTGTGTGTGTGTGTGTGTGTGTGTGTGTGTGTGTGTGCATAAGGAAATTCTTAATTCTTCTATAATGATAACTACAGGGTATAATGAATAATTGGCCAGAATAGGAATCTGTACTGATTGGGTGGATTTAGGCATGCACATGAGAACACCCGCCCTCTCTCCATCTCTCCCCACCACATATTTTGACCTTTTTGAGTCACTGCATCTCTTAAACACACACACACACACACACACACACACACACTTGGTTAGATCATAGTATTGCATGTGTGTTTGACAGATGGCTCCCTAAATGTGTTGTTAACATCTATTAGAGTGAAGGCAAAGATGCATTCTAGCAAATAAAAATCTAGCCACTGGCCGCACCATTCAAACACAATCACGCACGCACTATAAATGAACTCAGAGACACATATGAAATTACACACTGCAGCAGCAACTCATTGGTGTCCAAGCTCATGAAGACCTCAATTGATACCTTCACATCCCATTGCACTCCTATTTCACCTGGAGAAAGACCTTTTGATTACACAGGCTGAGAGTGATTGCTGCACACACACACACACACACACACACAGACAAACGCAAGCACACATACACGTAGATGCTCCCCGCATTAATAATTGCATTTGCGCTGCATGGCGCAGGTCTAAGGCGTTACGCAATGTCTCACTCCTCATTTCTCTCTCAGGAAGGAGCCAACATGTGATCAGCACATGGTGTACAAATGATGAACAAGCCAATGCAGTAGATTCTGTAAATACTCAATGTAAATCAAATACTTATCTGCATTTGATTGTGTGAAAAGAGAGAGAAATAGAGGGAGAAAGTGGAGGGTTAGCCTACAACATTGCAGCATTGCCCAAGGGAAAGCAGCAACAGTAGCAGCAAAGCCTGCAGATTCCCGGGGCACTGCAAAATGAAGCCATTTAAAGAGGGGAGATGGGCTGCAAGGAGGAGAGGGAGGTGGGACGAGATGGATGGGTGGATGGAGGGATTAGAGGAATAGCTTGTCAGGCATTCAGAACACACATTCTCCTGTACACGGCCCCCACAAGGTGACCTTCACACATGAACACATACGAATATGTATGCCCACATGCATGTATCTGTACATGCACTTGCTATATGTGACGGGGAAAAAAATCCAGAAAAGCTGCCCCATTTCTCAGATTTCCCTCTCAGTGGACTTTGGCTTTCATCCATTGCACCATTAGTTCATCTCACGCAGGATATAAAAAAATGCAGCTAAAAGACATATCAGACTACACAGACATAGACCTAAACTGGCCATAGAGTGAAAAAAATCCTTAAAGCCTAATGCAAAAAATGTTTGACACAGCAAAAGGTAAAAAGCAAAAGATTCTTAGGTAATGTGAGCACACCATTAGTTTTCATATTCATTTGATCTCTCTCTTTGTCATGTTTTTACTCTCATTCTTTTTATTCGCCTTCTCAGCGAAATCCCTTCATTCCCTCCCTACAGTGAACTGTATGTATGTGTGTAAGTATGTGAAAGTGTTGTGGTGTTCTCTTTACAAGAGACAAGAGAGGACGGAAGAGAGTCTGGAGAGGAGATACACTACATTACATCGGAGCAATGCCTCTCCTCTCCCCTCCTCTCTTGGCACCTTGGCAGCAGCGTTTTTTAGCGAAGCAGTTTAATCCAGCAAACGAGAGCACTCTCACTCGCATGTGACTGAATGTCTTTATGTTACGAGCCGTGATCCATTTAATCAAACAACAATAGAAGTCGTAAAGTCTTCTACAAACCGTAGAAATAATGCACCTGGCTCTCTGTCTGTCTGTCTCTCTCATTGTCTCTCAGATAACAGTTTTCCGGATGGGGTCGGAGGGTCATCAGGACATTGACCTTGCCATTCTCACTGCATTACTCAAAGGTGGGTGTGTGTATTTGTGTGTGTGTGTGTGTGTGCTGGAGTGTGTATGTACAATAAGTGGCATACATTTCAACGGTGCTCTCCGGGGATGTTGTTTTTTGGACGTTTCTGTGCATAAAAGGAGGATGTTAATCATTTCAGAAAGCATTCCTCTTACTGTCCCAGTTTAGGTGTATGTTTTAAAGCACTGTAGCAGTTCATAGCTCAGGAATAAAACAGACATCTGCTTATTATTTTCTTTTTCAAATCTCCATGAAGCAATTTTTGATCACTGGGGGGCAGGAAGACTCCTAAGCATTAAGTCTTGATATCAGATTTATGTATTACAATTACTTTCTTACAGTTTTATCAAAAACAGTGATGGGGAAATTACTTGGGCATAATTCTTGTCCAATATTATCCAGTATTTACTGGCTTGGTCCACTAACTCCTATCGAAATCTTTTTGTTTTTAAAATATTTGGCTTTTTCCAACACCTCACAACCTGTTGGTTTCCCAACTTTATGTATTAAATGACATATAACATTTTAATTGGTAAGCTTTAGAGGGGCTATTTGGCATATTTTGTTACCTTTGAACAGAATCGGGCTAGCTATTTTGCTTAGTTTCCAGTTTTATAGTATCACACTTAATATTTTCCACAAAATATTGAATCATTCCTTAAAATATGAGGAGATTGTGGCTCCCGTGCCCTACCAGATATTGAAGCCGTTTCAGAAAAGCTTGCAGGTTTCCTACTTTATATGCTAATAAAACCCTGATATCACAACAACACCTGCAAAATAATCAATTAGCATGAACACAGCTGCTCATTAACTGTGTGTCTAGAGACAAATAATTACAGGAAGACACTTAACAGTCACCAATGAATTTTGAAAAGTATTGTGTCTATTATTCCATTTCTTTTGAAGTATATATTGTATTTTAATTTGCATTTATCAATTTAGGTCAATGATCACTTTTAAAAGGCACACGTGGCCTAACTATATGCTATTATGCCACATGAGCTGCTCATATCATATCGCGGTATACAGCAATAGCAAGCAAGTCGTGATTTAAAGGCTCATATCTATCTTGGTTTCCCCCTCTACATGTACATCAATCAGCATGATAACTGCAGCACAGACATAAGGCATGACACAGTAAGATATAGAGGGATGAAAACAGAAGCTGCTTACACTGTAACAAATTGTTATGCAAAAATGAACTGGGTTACAAAATTGAAAATTTGTCAAGTGCAGACAAAGCAATTACACTCAGCCACCATTGTTCCCTATCCTCTACCTTATTTCCCACGTCAGTGTTTCCCATGCCCCCATCCTTCCATACCCACCCCTCGACACAACACACTCACACACACCCATAGGATACATACTTTTGATCTGTTGTTTATTAGCTTATATTGATCGTGGTTGCTCTTGCCTCTTCAAAGAATATGACTCTAACCAGGCACTCTGGAATTTGCTCACATATGCATGTGTGAACACAGCAGGTACATACTCATGCACATGTACAAAGAGACAGTGAGTGCTGTGGGACTGTTTAGCAATTCAGAGTGTATGATTGACTATCTCAGGAAGTGTTCCACAGAGAAACATTTAATTCCATACAGAGTGAAAACACAGTTTCACATAATTTATATCTCTGACATGTATGGACCCAAGGCTCATCTCAGACTCCCTATGTACACATCTTACTCTGTATTCTGCCGACTCCTTCTGTTGATCTGTCTTTCATTTCTGTTCACTTTTTAGCCCTTTCATATTCATTTCATTTTCCATTGTCATAAGAATGGCATGTATATGAATGAGTGAAAGGAGGTAAAAGATAATGAAAAGGAAGAGATCAGACGTGAAAGGATGAAAGGGGAACACTGAAAAAAGGGGCAAAAGGTGCTTTATGGTAAACAGCATGACGGTCATTTTGCATGCAAGTCTCATTCTGTGGCTGAGTGAATGAGACGCGTTAAGGCTTTTAGCGTAAAATGAAAACAGTCACATCCTGCCTGAGAGCTTTTTAAAACACTGGATTAGACTCCTTTGCTGAAGAACTAAGCTACTGCCTGAAGCTCAACAAGGCACAGCACAGTCAGGAATACAGGGTGATGGGGAGAACAGAGCAAGAGCACGAAAAGAGTGGGAACAGACAGAGCAGGAAGGAAAATGTAGCTAAAGACACATGCTATACCTGAGGGCCGTTTGGAGTAATTGATGGTCTGCTGTCAGAGGTAGTCAGTATCCTGAAGATTCGGTCCATAAAGTCAGTTGGCTGCGATTCAATCTCCCATGCAGGCAGACAGAATGAAGCCGCAGCCCTTTGATAAAGCAAGGCCACCTTGCCATTTAATATACAAATATCTCCACTAAAGCTCTTATTAGTGGGCTCTGCATCTTATTAGGAGGGCTCCGTCTGAACGTTAAGCTCCAGTAATGCTGTACAGGGCTTTAGAGAGGCCTGTAGAGAGCACAAAGTGATGATACTGGTGTGCCTATTAAAATTACAGTCTTGTCTACACACATGGGATTACTATTATACTTTTACTTTTATTACACTAGTTTTCTCTAAAGGCTTAGAAGAATTGTTGCTTTATCTTTCTCATTTTGGCATACCCCTCAGAGTGTACAGGTAAATTAGGAATGTGAACAGAAGACTGTGGTTTTGTGTTAGATCTTACTGGTCCGCATTGTTTGTAGTGTGCCACTACAACAGTGAATAGCAGCAGATGCTCTTTTTGTAGCACATTTAATAACATTTTTAAAGGGAAGCTGTTTTACATTGGATTATACTGTACAGTGCTAATCAGTTCTAAATAGAGAGGTTTGATTTTATATTTACAGTCCCAGTCTGTCCCTGTTTCATTTTATGCTGCATCTGAGTATGTTGTCCATTGGATGTTGTGTTTAAGACGAACTTGCCTCTACTTCATCCAGTATCATATTAACCAAATCAGATATGTCCAGATTGCCACCTTTTCGACCTTTTGTTTTGAATTTTTGATTTTTTTCATCTTCGTGTGTGAACATATTGTAGTTATTCTTCTACAGCCATGTTGATGTTGATGGAAGACCAGAGCACTGTGAGTGATATTGATGGACACAGCAAATCAGAGCAAACACAGTTGTGTGCCACATTTTATGCAGAGATGAGGTGAAGCGTTAAATTAAGTGATACATCAAAGACCAAGCTGTAATTCCCCAATGGGAAGACGTCTTCTTCTCTACAGATACAGAATAGGGCAGGAACAGAGTAGAAACATTAAAGTAAAGCAAAGATCCACCAAGCCTGAAGTTAGACAGCTCGCAAAAGAAGCAGACATCCCAGCACTTAAAGTAAAATTAAAGGGAGCTATAATTAGTCAACTGTAACTCCACAGCGCTACAAAATTTTGACTTCCATTAATGTTACACAGCTGGAGAAACTGCAACCAAACCATCATCATTGCACTATTGTCTCAATCTGTCTATATTGTTTTTGTTTATAGTGTGTGTGTATATATGTGTTCTCCATACTGTAGCCTGTGTGTGATCAAAACAACAACAGTAATGGTATCCAGCAGGGGCAATGAGTATATAAGTACATTTAGAGAATATAAAAAAAACAGTAAAGACAGATCATTATCTAGTTCATCCTCAGCACTGCTCCAGTGATTATAGTTTATTTCACTCTACAACTTGTTGTATTGTGACAATAAAACCTACCTACCTACCTACCTTATCAACAACAAAACTACAAAGCAGATTTAACAACTAAACAACTGATGAACAGCGTATAAGTACGTTTGGATCTTTGACTATGTATCAGTGTTTAAGAAGCCTTGTTTTCCAGAAATATGACATTGTCTCTCAACTCTCTTGTGTCCTCTTTCAGGTGCCAACGCTTCAGCTCCGACCAGCTGAGTTTGGCTCTGGCATGGAACAGAGTGGACATCGCCCGCAGTCAGATCTTTATCTACGGACAGCAGTGGCCTGTAAGAGCCATAAATAGATGAGAATAAACATACTAAAATGTTCTTTTAGCACATGATTGTTTTGACATTGTACCTCAGTCTTGACAGTACTGTCTGTTTACAGAAACAGCTGATATTAATAATAACAAGTGATACTGCTTACAAGTCAAGAAATGCAGCTCAATGCTTTACATTAAGACCAAATTTAAAAAATGATTGGACGGAGAAAGATAAAAGATACTTTCAGCTTTAAAGGGCAATTTGGATGCTCAGCTGAGGATTAGTCATGGGTGAAAGATTCAGCAACTGACAAATGGTTGCAAATGATAATCAAGCATTGCCGTGGTTATCTGTGAACATAATTGAAAAATGTGCATTCCTTGCAGTTTTCAAACTGTATATTTCAAAGCTATCTTAAAATGTCTAAGAATTGTATTTAAATTCACTTCATTTTGGATTTGTGATTTATGGAAGAGAAATGCACAACAGATAAAACAGAAGAAGAAACATTAAATCGATATATAGATTAAAATAGATCGTACAGTAAGTGTTGCTCCGCTCGCATGTTATATGAAATCCTATTATAATCCTGTTGTAGTTTAGACTATACTCCTGTATAGTTTGTAGCGTGTGCTGTGTATGGTATGTTCAGTATATGTGTTCTCCATCCCATCTGCCTTAGGTCGGTTCCCTGGAGCAGGCTATGCTAGATGCCTTAGTTCTGGACAGAGTGGACTTTGTCAAGCTGCTGATTGAAAATGGAGTCAGTATGCATCGTTTCCTCACACTTTCCAGACTGGAGGAGCTCTACAACACGGTAATAACAAATGCACATCATTTATGTGTATTTATAACACCCAGTGAACTGCATCCTTTGGCACATAGTTCAGTAGGGAGTTTCAAAGTAAAATGTTGATTGAAAGTTTACTTGCACAAAAAAAAATATGGTGCTGGTAGTGAACAGCGTGGCAGGCAGTGTCAACATTGTTCTAAGGAACTGTAAATACTGTCACTGATGGTAATAATATCCTCATATGTTGTGTTTCTTTTTCAACAGAGACATGGACCGTCCAACACGCTGTACCACCTTGTCAGAGATGTCAAGAAGGTATGACCATCACTGCCGTCCCTTCAGCTCCTTGGCTGTTCAGGCACACTGTATGGGAATGTTGGCTTGAATGTGTATATTAAAGAAGACATGTTTGACTACATAGCGTTTCAGTTGCTTTTTTTGCAGTGTGTGTGTTGTTACTCTGTTTGCATCAATTTGTGTGTCTACATTTTGGTAGCCCTAGTTGCTGTTAACTGCAAATAGAGGCCAGCTTTTCTCTTTCAGCTGGAGATGCGGGCTGCAGTGGCTGTGTAGAGCTATGCACGACTATCATCCCTCTCATGACTTTTCAGCAATTTACTCTGTTCTTTCTCTAAGGCATACACTTTCATGGTAAACAAACACTACATGTATTAAACATTGCTTTATCCACAGAACTTGAATTTTAGCAAACCGAGGCCACAGTGGAACTGCTGTGAGGCTGTGAAGGAAGAATGAATAATTTTTGAATCAGGAAATTGAGCATTCCCCCTACATAACATAGACTTTATTTTGCAACAGGGTTGTGTTATTATCATGTTTAAAACGATGAAATGGTGGAATCTCTTTCAGCATAGGTTTTGGCTATGTGGTTCATTATTTTTGCTGCATATCTGCTATAGCACCTTGATGATAGCAGCGATAAAAGTCAACAACCTAAAATTTTACATTCAGTACATGTCTGCACGCCAATTAAGAGTGATCCCACTGTTGAGAGATGATGGGAGAGGTCAGCAACAACACCATTAGCATTGAGAGGTGTTCATTAATTAAAGTGTTACTGATTACAGTAATGCTGCATGGTCCTCTGGTAGTCGCTCAAGAGACTCCATGTTGTAATCACTCCTGGTTTACCTCTTTGCTTTCTTTAAACACAACTCTGATCTCAAGACAGTGCAGAGAGAACATGCAGTGTATATTCCACAACATGTCACCATACATATGCCAAACACACACCGTAGTGCATGGCAAAACATCCCCCATTTTATTTTTGCAGAGCTGTGTGTCATTGCTGTAGAATAGCTGAGTGTTTGTGTATCGCTGTTGTATCATAGTACGATGCTAAATTAGATTTAACTGCTCGAGTTGACTCGCCATGTCATGGCTGTTTTCTTTCTTTCTCATTCTTCACTTTGGATTGCTTGGTCATACTGTTAGCAATCGGCAGGTCTTATTTTGATTCAGATGCAGGTGTTGCGCTAATAATAGCTGTAAGGACCCGACGAAGGTTGCTTGTAGGTTTAATCTGGTCCGTTCATTAGATTGTGTGAAAGCTGAGTCAGAAAACAGAGAATCAAAGAGATTGGCTCGTGGACTGCAGCTGCCAAAGCAGAAATTGGTTTTCCTACAGAGTAAATGAACAATGCAATTTTGTGGCCAAAGGTTGGTCACAATACACCTTGTGTCCCGAGTCTCAGATATCAGGAGCAGGTAGGAGAAAATCCAAATGTAACTGGACAGTTTTACTTTTTAGGTTTCTTGCCTAATTGAAAGTATAAATGGGCAGTAATTGTGATTGTTTATTTGTATCGCAGGTCATCATCTCACTAATCGATTTCAGGATGTGAGAACTGGGAAACACTGACCTTTTGAGAGTATATTGCATTATACATTGTGTCATTGTGATAATCTGGTGAGCTGACAAGTAAACAAAAGCAACTGTTTAACTAGTTGCTGTTAAAACCAGGGCTATGATATATGGAGGCAGGAAAGAGAAATTTTCAGTAGAGCAGCGTCCCCATTAAAAACTCTTGCGCTCTAAGCTACAGAGTATATTCACAAGAGGTGTAAACAAACAGTTATTAGCTTGAGCTTCACCACCACAGGGACTTAAAAGAGGGCTTGTCTGACTGCTGACTGGTCCATTTGAACTATATATATCACTAGGATGAGGAGGTGAAGCTTTGTGTGCTTACTTTAAACCGCAGATGTATGATAAGACAGTGTCTCATAAGCAGTGTCTGTGGCTCTCTCTACTTCAAGTATCAGTTGGCCTACCAGGGTTGGCCATGCTCATCTGCCATGTAATCTTTGGATAAGAAGACATACTAGGGATGCGTAGGACAGAGGAGTTGGAGATTGTGTGAAGGAGGGTGTAAAGATGTGTAAGGTGTAGCTCAAAGGAACAGAGGGGCATGTTAAGGGCACGAAAAGGAGCAGCGAGTGTTGGCATGGTTACAGTCGTCACGTGAAAGGACGTTTTTTTTTTCAACACGGATTCTCCCCTCCAGCGTTAATAGCTGTTTGGCTGTTTTTCCATGCTATTGCCACTCTCTTCCAGGTTAATGAAACATTACCACTTTCTCTTTCTTTTCCTCTCTTCAAGACTGCATTGAACCTCACTGAGAAGATCTCATCATTTCCTTAAATGCAAATTATGGCAAATCAATCAAAACATTTTTTACATCATTTGTAATTTTCCTCCCACGTAATATTCTCTGCTATTCATTTTCTGTTCCTCTATAAGAGAACAAGTTACTGCTTTGGGCTTTTAAGGTTCAAGTTCTAGAGAGCGTTCAGGAGTAATACCTTACCTGAAACTGTGACCAGTTTTTGGTTCAACCAAGATGTCTAATTCAAACCAAGGTCCATATATCAAAGGAGGGGTAAATAAAGGCAACTGATTGGAAGATACTTTCCCCTTGAAGACATTTCGCCTACCACCGAAGAGGCTTCTTTAGCTCTAGAGAAGCCTCTTGGATGATTTTCAATCAACGCCCAGTTGACCTTGATTTAACCCTCCTTGGATAACTAAGACCTGGATGACTGAGAATCTTCACAGACAAGGTCCACATAGTTTAAAGAATTCAAAATACAAAAATATAATCTGACCCACAGTCTGGTTGATATAACTGTTTGTTAAAGAAGCCGGAAGAGAGATCTTGCCTGAGTTTCTGTGTATGTCATTTCCCCTGCTCTTGCTTATCGTGCGGTTTACTCACTGACATTGTGTGTTCTTTCCAAGCAAGAATATCCAGGGTTCGGTTGGATCTACTTCAAGGTGAATCCGATAATCATGTTTTTTTTTCATAGCCAAAAACAGTTTGATATGGATTTTGTGAAGTGAGTGGATGACTGTGTGATTTGTGTTGTGCTATTGTTTCCCTCTTGTTTACCCTCCTTTATTAATCAGTTTTGCATGGGTTGTTGCCTCTTAACACTGTGTGGTTTTCTAGGGAAACCTGCCCCCGGACTACCGCATCAGCCTCATCGACATTGGACTGGTTATTGAATACCTCATGGGAGGGGCATATCGATGTAACTACACCAGGAAGAGATTCAGAACACTATACCACAACCTCTTTGGACCCAAGAGGGTGAGTGAATGATCTCTCACCTGCATTAGCATCCCACCATGTAATGCATTTCAACTGGGAATTTTTCATGTCATTAATCAAAGACCAATGTCAGGGAAATTATCCTCATGTTCAAATTAGCCCTGATAGGGACAGCATGCATAATATGGGCAAATTGTGTTTTATAATAAAAATGTGTAAGGATTGTGTACTCAAGGGCAAACTTCACCTTGCTGATGCAAGCAGTAAATTAGCATGTACATATAAATGTTGTTAGTTGTGACACGCCTGAATTAGCAGAAAATACATGAGGCACGTTATGTTTGAAACTGCATACTGTTCTGTATGCTGTTTTTTATACTGCATGTGGATTCTGATATTTCCTTTAGGAGATTAATTTCTAAGTTATAAATATCAGGAAATGTTTGACTAAAATGGTAGGACAGAAATAGTTTCTCTAGGAATAAATGGAAATGACTACTATTTTGGTTAGCTGATTTATAAGCCCAAACCACTAGGTCTGGGTTAGGGTTAGATAATGGTGCACAAGGATGGAATATATAAATCCACATATATCAGCCTGACTGCCCACCACCACATCCATTAAACACACACACATACACACACATTTAGAAATTGTATTTGTTATTGTACTGTTTAAATTTCGGTCACTAAATTAACACAAATCATAATCTCCTAAAATCAAGATGCTGTTCATCAGCAGAGGTTGCCCTCCCATTATTCTTCATTTCCACATCATGGAGAGGCAGCACAGTTCAGGCAATTATTAGCTTGATGCAACACATCATCCATCGATAGCAGTGGCTCTTCATCATGTGCCATCATAACCCCAAGAATATAGACACTTCATTTCAACCGCTTCATTTCAACCGCTCATCTCACGCATTAGCACATATTCAACCAAAGTGGAGGAACTGCTCATTGAAATAATGTGCTGTAGTGTTTGGTGGTTGTGTGTTTTACACCACACATACTGCACATTATATGGCATATGTTCATGTTATGTTTCTCTGATGTATAATTCTGCCTCAATAACTCACACACCATCTCAGCTGTTATGAAAATAGAAATATACACAGCTGTGGCGGAAATGCATCTGAAATGTCTGACGTGTGTATGTGAGTCTTTATGGGCCTGTTGATGTCATTGTATGTCTGCCATGGCAGCAACAAAGCAGCTGGAAAGACACAGATAAAGCGAAAGCACAGGGACCGGACAGAGACTGAGCAAAGTGGCAAAATGAGAGGGAGAGAGAATCAGTTCCGATTTAACTATGATTTTCATGATGAAATGAACGTGCGATCACATTCACGTGCACGCACGCACTCGCGCGAACACACACACAAACACATGTTAACCAAGAACAAAGCCTTGAAACACATGCAGATATCAAAATCCCCGCAGGAGTCCTGGGCTATTTTTACCAACTCAGATGATGGCTCATGAATGCATAATTCATACATGCCCTGCTTTAACACATATACACAGTACTGTACCAAATGCACAAATACTTTGCTTTAATACATGCAAACACACAACTATAATATATTGTTGCTGTATGTTTACTATACTGTCAGTCACACCAGCACAAAATGCTAATCCCTCAATGTTGTTGCCATTTTAAAAAACCCCCATTATACTGAAAGTGACTTGCCATATTAAAGAATATTTCTGGTCTCATGTGAGTGAGTCTGTCTGTCAATCTGTGCTGTGTTGTGCTTATAGAGTAAATTACTCTATAACATACATTCGACAAGGTCTTGTTCTGTTTGTTCATGTTGTTGTTGCTTTTCTAGCCCAAAGCCCTGAAACTGCTGGGGATGGAGGTGAGTGTTGATCTCATCAAGGTTGTTATTCCGTCACTGCTTCATTGTCTTCTCCCTCATAACGTGTTAAGTGTATAGTCAGTTTGCAGAATCTTTTCAGCAGAATAGTCATGTAATGGTGTGTGCTGTGTGCCTCACAGTCTATGAAAGGAAGACCTTGAGGCCTGTTTTATTGACTTTGCTGACAATCTGTATACACTTTTCAGCGACTTTAAGGCTCGTTGTCAAATACAATTATTAATACATTTCACACTGCCTTATACAAAGTTATTTTTTTTTCAGATTTGTGAAATGAAAAATAACTAACAAAAATATATGACTACATAACTGTTTAATGGCTCCAGACAGTACAACTGTATGTAACTCTTATGATACATGTCAGAGCAGCCCAGTTACAATTAACTGAATAGGTAATTATTAACCAACCCAGATAACATAATACATGGTTTGTGTACACACATGTATCCATGGTTTACATACCATGAAGTATCCACATCATAAAGCTTTTAACACAGCATGTGTCTACAGTTTTGTCAGAGGTATTTATATCTAATGTGCACAGCTGTCCATTCCCTTGTATGTCTGCCTGTTTGAAATCCGTCTCCCTGTCAGTGTGTGTTCTCTCTTTCTTTGTGTATGTACAGTCTTTACCTTAATGCCTTGCCCTCTTTTTGTATTCCACTTTATCATTCAATCAGTGTAGCAACCTGGCCATGACACAGAACATGTAAAGTTTACTTGGGCACTTCTGAAGATATACATTTATGGAGCTGCAATAATTCGATATCCATAAAATTACAAACTTACTCTTTTATAAATGTGTCACTGTCTATTATTACTGAATAATTTATTGCTGAACTATAATCATAGCTTTCTTTGTCCAGATAATCTCAAAGAAACCAGTTAATCAAGAACCAATGAAAATCTTTTGTCAGATCTCTGTAATTGATCAACCGTCAATTAATTAATTGTTAAAATGTGAAATTACTGGAGATCAGTGCCGTCCTACTGACATGGACACTAACTGACAGAGACAGGGAGTCAACCTGGAGACACTGGGGATTTCGCCTTTGGTGAAGTTATTTTTTTTAAACTCAAACAGAAAGGACAAGTAAAAAAGAGAGTAAAAAGTAAAATCAAAGAAAATTTTAAGTACAAGTGTGTAAGACCATGCCTGTTATGTGTATTTTGTGTGTAGCACTTTGACCACCTGTGTCCTCCGAAAGTCTGATTTTGCTTCTACATTCAACTAACTTTCACCGTGTGGAGGGTGAGCAATTTTAGAAAATGCATTATGAAAACATTTGCTGGGTGAAATGACCCCTCTAGACATGTGTCTGATGTGGCCACACACAGGGCTAGTCCTCCACAGATAAAGTCATGGGTACGATCCAGATTCTTGGTTTTACTTGTAACTTCAGTTTAGAATCCAAGCTTTGACTGAATACATTCATAAATAGCTCAGCCTCATCTTAAAACACTCTGTTTTGTAATATCATCCGTTACAAGTCACCCCAAAATATGTGCATCTCTTGTGTCTCTTTCTTTCCACCCCACTCACTTGCTGTGACTCTCCACCAGGATGACATGCCCATCCGCAGAGGCCGCCAGAAGACGACACGTAAACGAGAGGAGGAAGTGGACATTGATTTGGATGATCCTGAAATTAACCACTTCCCTTTCCCCTTCCATGAGCTTATGGTGTGGGCCGTGCTTATGAAACGTCAGAAGATGGCGCTGTTCTTTTGGCAGCATGGTGAAGAAGCTATGGCCAAGGCTTTGGTAGCATGTAAGCTTTGTAAGGCCATGGCACACGAAGCCTCAGAGAACGACATGGTGGATGACATCTCCCAGGAACTAAACCACAACTCCAGGTGGGCGACACAAGTTATATTCATACACACACACACACACACACACACACACACACACACACACTCACAAAAAAAGCCATCTCTGCTTGAGTGGTTTTAAACGTGATATTTCAGTATGGTGTGTATTTGTAGTGTTGAGCAAGACTTATCTCGCGGAAATATTTCTGCGCTTAATGATTAATGCAAAGTTAAGTGGAGAGTCTAGACGGGAACTTTTACCTCCACACTCCAGCGCATATGTTCAGATACACACACAAAAACACTAACATGCCTTCTTCCCTGTAAACTGACCAGTGTCAGACTACTCCAGGCTCCCATGGGATGTAAGTGACATAGATACAGAAATCTAATAACATGCATCACTGTTAATTTAGGATATGCATTTAAGATGAAGGTAATCACCAACAGATGAAAATTCTGCCTATGGAAATGACTGTTAATTGGTGTGTGTGTGGGGGGGGGATTAAGATACTACATATGAAGCACAGTGTGTCTGTGTCGAAGAAAGCCTACTGTCAGAGGCTGAAATTAGGGCAAAACTTAGACTCAGAGTATTGATTTATATTTATATTGTCTGGAAGGAGACGTATTAAAATGCTGGTGCAAGGGGTGGTGCTTTATGTGTGTGTGTTGGCCATATTACATTCCCATATTTAGGCATTTTTCGAAACCTGCACACAGTATTTCTTGTTCAGCGTGCATGTGAACCTCTTCACTTTGGAAACGATACAGACATAATTACCAGAGAATGTGGGCCCTCTTTGCCGAAATTGTGTGTATATCTACTAAAGAAATTAGATATGCTTGACCAACCTGTATGCTGTGTTGATATGCATAATGTTACATCTTTGTGCGTGGTCAAGTGTTTGTATGCTAATTTAATCTCCTTCCGAATTTGGCCAGATGGTCAGTGATTCCTTGGCCAGTTTAATTACATTTCTACATGCTTGGACAAAGTGTATTATTGTCTGTGTTCATGTCTCTGTGTGCCTGTATATGTCCTGCATATAATTTCCCAGAGAGTTTGCCCAGCTGGCAGTGGAACTCCTAGACCAGTCCTATAAACAGGACGAGCAGATGGCCATGAAGCTGCTGACATACGAGCTAAAGAACTGGAGTAACGCCACCTGCCTACAGCTGGCGGTTGCGGCGAAACACAGAGATTTCATCGCTCACACCTGCAGTCAGATGCTGCTGACCGACATGTGGATGGGACGCCTGCGTATGCGCAAGAACTCAGGCCTGAAGGTAATAGAAGTGGGCCAGACGTTTGGGATAACCTGTGGGTAAAGAAATGTGTACTTATATTAAATCAAATATCTGTGCACTCCACAGTGGCCTCAGGCTTTGGTGTTAGAGAGGCAGTTGTATTAGAATGCTTAAATTCCTACGCACTGCCTGAGAAAGGTTGGAGTAGGTAAGTTAATGAGAAATCCCCTCACAAACTACTGTAAACGTGGCTCAATTCACTGTGGGTCTGCTGAGTGGCTTACAGAAAAGTGGAGTGGTTGTACATGACAGCTACCAGGTGTGACGTGTGGGAATGAAAAGTGTAAATTGCTTTGGACATAATGTACCTGTATTAGAAGCAAAGGCCACCCAGTATTAGCCTATGACAAATATATCAGTACATACAGTACAGGCCAAAAGTTTGGACACACCTTCTCATTCAGTGCGTTTTCTTTATTTTCATGACTATTTACATTGTAGATTCTCACTGAAGGCATCAAAACTATGAATGAACACATGTGGAAGTATGTACTTAACAAAAAAGTGTGAAATAACTGAAAACATTTCTTATATTATAGTTTCTTCAAAGTAGCCACCCTTTACTCTGATTACTGCTTTGCACACTCTTGGCATTCTCTTGATGAGCTTCAAGAGGTAGTCACCTGAAATGGTTTTCCAACAGTCTTGAAGGAGTTCCCAGAGATGCTTAGCACTTGTTGGCCCTTTTGCCTTCACTCTGCGGTCCAGCTCACCTCAAACCAACTTCATTGGGTTCAGGTCCGGTGACTGTGGAGCCAGGTCATCTGGCGCAGCACTCCATCACTCTCCTTCTTGGTCAAATAGCCCTTACACAGCCTTGAGGTGTGTTTGGGGTCATTGTCCTGTTGAAAAATAAATGATGGTCCAACTAAACGCAAACCGGATGGGATGCATGTCGCAGAATGCTGTGGTAGCCATGCTGGTTCAGTATGCCTTCAATTTTGAATAAATCCCCAACAGTGTCACCAGCAAAGCACCCCCCACACCATCACACCTCCTCCTCCTTTTCCGGACTGACTGACCTTCATTTGTTAAAGTAATGATGGCCACTCGTTTCCCTTTACTTAGCTGATTGGTTCTTGCCATAATATGATTTCTAACACTTGTCCAATAGGGCTGTCGGCTGTGTATCAACCTGACTTCTGCACAACACAATTGATGGTCCCAACCCCATTAATAAGGGAAAGAATTCCACTAATTAACCCTGACAAGGCACACCTGTGAAGTGAAAACCATTTCAGGTGACTACCTCATGAAGCTCATTGAGAGAACGCCAAGGGTTTGCAGCGCTATCAAAAAAGCAAAGGGTGGCTACTTTGAGGAATCTAAAATACAAGACATGTTTTTCAGTTATTTCACACTTTTACACAATTCCATATGTGTTCATTCATAGTTTTGATGCCTTCAGTGAGAATCTACAATGTAAACAGTCATGAAAATAAAGAAAACGCATTGAATGAGAATGTGTGTCCAAACTTTTGGCCTGTACTGTATACATATACAGAAACAAGAAATTGCAGAATTAAATGCAGGTAATTAGAAACAATGTTGCCATTGCATAGTTTGCCCACCAGAGAGCACCAAGTTCGTTTTTCAACTTTAAAATGTAAAATCAGTGCATATATTTGTTGCAGTTCTTGAAATATCCACATATACATTGTTCTCGAATATCAATGTCAGTCTTAAAAATCCAGCGTCAGTCAGGTTCTAATTTGCCATTGAGATACAGTATCTCTGCTGTCAGGGAGTCCAGGTCAAGGTGGACAGCAAAAATAATATAAAATATATATAAAAGTACAGGTACAGGTAACAAAAAACATACCCAAACACAACAAACAGATACAAAACATAAAAGGATCAGGGACTAAAAAGAATCATGATTCATGATCAATCATGATGATTAAAAGCAATCCCAATTTTCTGCCAAAACTGATTTTGACGTCAGGAAACCAGATATGTATTGGGGTAATTTACCCAGTAAAGCTTTTGCAGTCAAGACTAACATACAGGATTTTAATAATTAAGGTTAGTTAATGTAGGTGAAATTATGCACTTAAAGATACACTGTGAGCCAGTCAAAGTCGCTTGTGATGGTGGGGAAGAGGAGGAAAGAGGTTTATTGGATAGTAATACTTTGGAGAAACATTAGGAGTGCAATGAGGTGGCCTTTCTGGTTGAACCACAACTCCGTTAGTGTAGGCCTACGAAGAATTCTCTTAAGCCAGAGGGAACAGAAGAACTGACCTTAATTACTAAAAAACCTTTAAATTGTGCCCCCTCCCCTTGAGTCAAGGGGAGAGGTTTTATTTCTTTTAGTTGAGTTTTGATCAATTTTCCCTCATGTGAGTTTTCCAGACGTCTGGCAGTAGGGTGATTGGGGGCAGCTGGTCAGATCAGAGAGGTTAGAGTTATTTATAATGAAGAGTTGCCCTGGGAGTTGCTGAAGGGACGGCTGGGTTCACACTCATTCATACACAGAGTGAGACAGAATGATGGGTCTGGCTGGTCTAGCTTCTTGGAGCAGGGCAAGACAGCTTTAAGTATGGGTTGGCCTTTGCAGGGAGGGAAAGAGAGAGTGCTCTGCTAAAGCAAGCTCATTGGAGCAGAAAGACAGAAAGGGAACCACAAGTGGAACAAACAAGATTCGGTGCCCCCAGGAGTTCATGATATACAGCAAATAACATTGTCAAAATAATATGTGTGCCCATTTTTGAGTTTCCATAGTTGTGAGGGCAGTCAGCTTCAACCCTGCAACACTCTAACTCATGTCAGAATGGTTACTAGAGGCTACATATGGACTATGGATTGCAAAGAAGAATACATTGATTACTTCACACATCAATAAATCGCTGCTTTCGACCCCTTGACATCACTGATGACAAGAGAAGCTGAGGCATCAATTTCTGTGCTGTGGTTATAATTGTATTTCTCACTAGTCACTTTTCATATATTCACTAGTCTAGTCATCTGGCTTCAGACTGCTTTATTATTAAATTATAACATGATACTTTTACACATCAGAAATTAATGTAAAGTTAAATGGATAAAATTTTTGTGCAATTTTTAACCAGCAGTCAATGCAGTGAAAATAGCTTAATTTTCACTTTCAAATTAGTTAGACAGCTGCTTCCAGAGATAAGAAGACGCTCAATTATACTGCTCACCATCTTCTTCTCTTTCCCTTGTTCATCACCTTCCCACTGTGGTAACAGTCTCACTCGGGCTTTTCTTGTTTGACTGGTATGTATCTGAAGTGTTTACAGGACGCCTGCCTCCTTTATCTGCTGCGGGTGCTTGTCCCTCTCATCCATCGTGGCAGCGCAGTACCCTTGCTGCCTGTCTGGACTAATGCTTTTGTAATTGACTTCCACAATAAGAACCCTCGCCCTGGCTGTCGTAAATACCAATGTTTTGTCATTCAGCCACGCGCAGGCCGGGGCATGATGGGGAGGTGTTGTTGAGGGTACATTTATATAATGTGAGTTTCACATGTGCGGGCCGATAATGAAGGCTGTTTTGTTCCAGACTGTCTGTGTCCTAATTTCCGCACCGCTACTGATGAAACTGCGCACCTTCATCACATCTGTCGCTTCTAGCTCTTCTCTCTAACTTTCCTCCTCCTCCACTTCCCATTTCCCTCGTCACCCAGGTAATCTTAGGCCTGCTTCTGCCGCCGTCCATCCTGAGTCTGGAGTTCAAAAACAAGGATGAGATGTCTTACATGCCCCAGGATCAGGAGGCCTACCTGCAGGAGAAGGAGGAGGAGGAGCCTGAGAAACCAGTCAAGGAGAAGGAGGAGGAAGACATGGAGTTCACAGTAAGATCTTACTGTGAGGCGCAGTACAACTCCGTGGTGAGAGAACCCACCTCAGCCCCGCATCTCAGAATCTATACACATATTCTAACTTTAGGCAATACACACATGCTTTGTTCAGATTACAAAACTGATCATTGAACACACAGCCCAGATTCTGTATCCGTTGTAAATATCTCTTGTGGACTAGTTGAGATGTGGATATGCACACACATACACACAGTTCTACCCCCGCCAAACCCCACTCCACACACAACACACACACATACTTGTTTCTCTATTCTGGCCAACTGGACCTTTCCAGCCAAATTGGCCTTTCCTGTTTCTCGTCGTCTCAGCAAAGACATGGTCGTGGAGTTGTAGCGTCTCAGTCTGTCGCCGCTTGTGGGTTCCCTCGTGTATGTTTCTTCTTCCATCTATCTCCTTCTCTGTTTCTCTCTTGCCTTTCCTTTGGTCCCTCTTGTTCTCTGCCCAGCTCTCTCTTTGCTTCTTTTGCTTCTTTATTTCCTTTACTTTCAGCTCCCCCTCTCTCTCTCTAGCTCTTTCTCTCTTTCTCCCTCTCTCCAAGCTCAGTTCTGATTGAGGTACAGTACTGTATGTCAGCCGATTGCTGCCCCTCACTCTCTCCCATCATGATGATGGCTTGCTGCAGCATACCACTCAGCATGTCGGCTGCTGAGCATGGGAGGCCCAGGCTTTTGCATTATATAACCATGTCCGCCTGCTGCTGCAGAGCTTAAATCATGCAGAGTCTGAGCACCTTCTCCCGGCTCACAGTGGAAGAGTTGGTCCATCTGCATAGACATGGATGTACAGCAGGATTAAGATCGTTCCATTTCAGTCCAATCAATTCTGGAGATTATACCAAGATCCAGTCTGTGTGTTGAATACGAAAGACACTGTTAATACACAGACTGGATCTAAGGTTGTCCCATTAAGTGATTGAAGTGAAGTTGAACGCCTTTCAGCACCACTGTACATACTCTCCATTTGCATTGAGCACAGCCAGCAAGCCAGCGCAAAGATTCACAAAAGTGGGCCTTTATACACATGCAGTCCTTGAGGCACTGTGGTGTTAAACAAGACCCCTGCTGCCAGAGGATGCATTTGCAATGAGCCCCCTGACATTGCACTGGCTTCTAACTGTACAAATGCACCTTCAAATACTTATGAATCACACAAAGATTCATACAGATAAACACAGACTGCTACACCACAGAGGGAGATTGTATTGTCCAGTCCTCAGATGCTCTAGATAAACCACACTGTGATGAATGTTATAGCTCGTGTGATAGCTTGTGTCCACTTGCTGATCGGATAATGTGCATGTTTAGTACATTAAAGGCATGGTGTGATTTACACACTGGCATCTGAATCTTTTCACCCTGAAGGCCCTGTCTGTGTGTGCCTTGGACAAAACTTTGGCTGAACATGTTTCACATATTTGGAAAAAATATAAATCCCTTGATTACTTACTGATGGTGATTTTTTCTTTGATTTCTTCTGATGGTTGTATCACTGTTTATCACCACCTATTCAGTGGCCTGGGAACCAACTCCTCATCATGTATTGAAAATTTTGGACCGACTTTAAAACATTTTATCTTTGCCCAGGTCTGTTATACTGCCCTGCTAAGTGCAGTAACTACAGAAGCAGTGAAGTTGAGTAAACGGTTTAAAGTTTATAGACTGCACGGCAGACTCTAAAACCGATAGAATGGTTGTAATACATTGTCGTCTTTTTAGACAGGTTATTTTACCCTAAACAATAATTGATGTAGAACACACTACCTAAAAAATGCAGGTACTGCACTTTGCCTTTGGAAACACAACACGGGATGCTGAGAGAATATGTAGTATGTACCAACAAAATGTGTTCTCTCAGCTTTTTTTTCCATTTTAACTAGTTTGTTCAAAGAAATAACTTTAGTTTGATTATTATTTGCAGTTTATATCTTATACAGATTAAGAGTTTCTGTGTTTCTTGTACTATTAACACTTATATAGAAGTCAATATAATACATAGCTGTCTAGTTAGCTGTTTTTCTCTGGATTACCGAGCCGGAATGCAATAACTACACTGCCAACATGCAGACATGGGGTTTTGATTTGGTTTATAGGTTCGTTTTGTAGTTCCTGCAAGCTTAAACAGAGTAACTGCACATTTATCTCTGGCATAGTATTTTTGTAGAGTAAAACAGATGTCAAATTCGGGATATAATTCAATTTTGGCCAAATATGTAGTCACTGCTTTATGCCTTTGTAGGGCAGTATACTTCCTGACATACAATACAATTACATTAACGAACTCCCTCAGAGGTCTGGTGTTGCTTTGACATTAAGACCATGACCCATAAAATCAGTGGGCTTCGAACCCTCTCTCATGGATAAGGAAATGTGTCACAGATTGAAATGAGATATCTATGTCTTCTCTTTTTCCTTTTCCTTTTCTGTCTTCTTTCTGTCATTATCATGTCTCTCTTCTGCCTCGTAATTGTTGTCTGAGACACAATCCATGAGTGTCTGTGTCTGCGTCATACTGTGTTACCAGCCTTCACCCAACACTCCACCTCAAACACACATTTCACATTTTGGAATGATGACATTGCCTGTGCTTGCTTCTTTGATTGTGATATTAAAACTGTGCAGTAACCATAATGTAACCCTCTTCCACTTCTCCTTTTTTCTCCTTTTTTCTTTGTTTTTCGACTCTTCCCATCCCTCCTCCCTTATACATACTTGTCCCCATCTCCATCCTTTCTCTGCATCTCCCCCCACACTCCGTCTTCCCAATCCGTCACACTTCCCTCTTCCCACTCTCTCCATCCCTCTATCCCTCACACCTTTCACTCTTTCCTCCCTCGCTCCATGTGGGGTTTGCATTGTCTCCAGGCAATGCTGGGTAAAGTAACCACAGAGACATCCAGAAAGAAGGATGTTGAGGAGGTTCAAAACCGCCACCGCCTCATCCCCATGGGACGCAAGATATACGAGTTCTACAACGCTCCAATTGTCAAGTTCTGGTTCCATACGGTCAGTGTCGGCTTCAACCACCTACATACTCAGCTTCCTGTTGGCACTGTCAGTGCCTACTGTATTTCAGCAACAGCATCAATTGCTGGTTCCTGGCCATTAGCTTCTACTGCCACAGTGCCTCTATTGTCATTAACCTCCTGTTCTACCCTGTAATTACGCAGCTTTACTGGGGTGGGAAAGTTTAGTGTGAAAGAGATGGGGAGAGTGATGGATGCAACATGCTGAGGAAAGTACAGGGGAGTGAGGAAGAGAAAGGGATCGAACATCAAACAAGGAGGTTTGTGTTCACTGTGTAAACACACACTGAAACCTCTTGAGTCATGGCATATTGCCAATAGATTAAATATTTAATTACATAAGTATCATTAGATTTGATGTTTAGTTTGAGAGTGTTTAAATGTGTGTGTGTGTGTGTGTGTGTGTGTGTGTGTGTGTGTGTGTCTTTACATCTTTCCATACAGCACTGTTCATGTAGATTCTATAACTCTAAATGTCTTAGAAGAAGTCTCTGCATAGCTTGTCTTTTGTACAGTGTCTGCCTGTTAGCGCGTGTGTAATGTTCATATAAGATGACCTTTTGTTTCCCATAACCTGTTTTGAGCTCCTTCAATTTGCTTGCTTAGTGAAAACATCTCTACATCACCAGCAGGGCTTTCACTGTTTTATTTATGCTGAGAAAATATTTTGACTGCCTTTTGTTTCATCTCATTTTCCTTTCTCTGACTATTAACTCCCCTCCTCTTCTCCCCCCTCACGTCTCCTTTCTGCCCTTCAGGTTAAAGAAAAATGTTCTACTGTGTATTTCATTGTTGCGCTCGTAGAACAGATGATGGGTTTTAGGAGTATAAGTGTGGTCTTTACCTCATTACCAGATTTGTATTCAAACCTGTCATCCGCCATAGAGCATGGCCCCCATTTATAGTTGTATTAGTCAGAATTATCGCACAAACCAACTGTGCATGTGGGACTGAAAGAAGACATAATTAAAATCACTTAACCTGCTTACATCACTGGATTGTTTGATTTAAACCTGGGGTATGTAATGTTTGAGAACTAGCAAGAGACAGCTAGATTTTGAAAGCATGTAACCAAAAAACCACCCCCTCCCATCAGGCCTCCCTCCAAAGCCACTCCCCCAAAACACATCTTCATGCGCATTGAGTGCATGGGCATGAGTGGTAGGCGGGTTGGCCAGCCAATCATTTCATTCAGACCTTTTTACAGCCCGACAGCCACAGATACAGGATTTTTTTCATTTTTGTGTCAGAAAATTTAATTTATTGATTGCTGTCGGGATGTAAAGAGAATTTTAACACACGTAACAAAAAAAATGCTTCTGAAATAAATTGCCTACCCAAAGCTAAAATTAAATTATTAATTAAATATATTAAATCTTTTTGTTGTTGTAATTTAAAGGTAAAAATGAACTCAGATGATACTGTGTCACCAACCACTGAATCAAAACATGTCAAATATCTGATTGAAATCCAGTTATGTCAGGACCTGTGAATGAGGAAAACACATAAAAATGGATGTTGAATACATTTGTGTCAGTTCGTCCCGGCCTCATCTTTAGATCGTTATAGCTTGCATTGCATCAACGTTTGTCTGTCTAGTCTGGATGATGACAAGTACAAATAAGTGCAGGAAAAATGAAAGTGGACAGCTGATATGTATTTAAATAGATGCAGCCACAGGAGTACGCATACTGGACATTTTCAGGCAGAGTGTCAGGGGACAACAATCAGGTGTCTTGACATGAAATCACTATTATCAGATCTGAAAAACTGCATTAGAGCGAGGTATAATGAGGGTCAATTATTCATCATGCTCTACAGTTTGCTGATTTGGAAAAGGCACACGAACACATACACATAACCATAAATGTGGCCCTCTGCTGTTGTGTTTTTTCGTAGATGGCATACGTGGGCTACCTGATGTTGTTCAACTACATCGTCCTAGTCAAGATGGACCTGTGGCCCTCTGCTCAAGAGTGGATCGTCATCGCTTACATCTTTACCAACGGCATTGAAAAGATGAGAGAGGTACAACAGGTCTTTGCAGTGGCTACATGCAAACATGCACCATGCGTGCACAACTATACTGAACACACAATAATCAATTCTTTTCACCACTACCCAGTGAACTAACGACAAAGCTCATCGTTATCATATCTCATAATAAATAGGGAAAACTGTGAGGCGGCCATTGAAGGGGAAGCAAAAGAAAGTCAAGGGGAAAGAGAAAGAGAAAGGAAGGGGAAACAGGGTGGTGGGAATGAAGATAAGAGACAGAGATGGGAAAAAAAGAGAAAGAAAAAGTAAATAGAAAATACAGGTAAGAGGCCATGTTAGACTATCTAGATCTGCCTCCCTCTTTGGCTTTGTTTGTACTGGAAGTGTATGAAATGCATTAATCATTATGTCACATTATTCTCAGCAGCACAACAATGTCTCAGACCTCATGTGAGGTGAACTCATACTGCCCTCTAATGGTGGCCATGATATAATGCATTTCTGTTTTTCTAATCTTCTATTTTTAATCACTTTTAGGGTTCACTTCGATTTTCGATGTGTATGATCACTTTTCCTTTCTCAACTAATTTCCCTCCAACCCTTCTCCAGATACTGATGTCAGAGCCTGGGAAGTTGTTACAGAAGGTGAAGGTGTGGCTTCAGGAGTACTGGAACATCACAGACCTCATGGCCATCCTCATATTCTCTGTCGGCATGGTCCTGCGTCTCCAAGAGCCACCTCTCATGAGCTACGGGCGGGTCATCTATTGTGTCAACATTATCTATTGGTACATCCGGCTGCTGGACATCTTTGGGGTCAACAAGTACCTTGGTCCCTATGTGATGATGATTGGCAAGATGGTGAGAAGTGGCAGGGGTGATGGTGTGTGTGTGTGTGTGTGTGTGTGTGTGTGTGTCTTCCTTTCTTTTCTATCTACAATATCTCATATTTTTTCTCCTCATTATGTATTCTTCATTTATGTCTGACATTTTCTACCTTTACTCAGCATGATCTTTACTGATTATAGGAGTACACTGAGTCCCATGATTACAAAGGTTTAATTTTGTACGTGGTTTGCAGGCTTGGTCCTAATAGAGGTTCTGTGTTTCTAAGCGTCATTATTTGATGTCAAAGAGCACAAGATTAGAGCCTCTGATATATAAATGAAGATAAAACTAGATAAGGGATCAAAGGCCTAATATGTGAATGTGTCTGATGTTCGACTGTCTTTGACACTGGCTGTGTACCACTGGACACAAACTGTCTTTGATATTGAAATCAGCAATTATTTCGAGAGAGGGGGGTTGGGGTGGATTTGACTTTAATTATTTAGTCAGGTAATTGGCATATAGGATGTTGCAGTAAGCTGATTTGAAGCCAGAGCGGTTGTGAGAATGAAAAGCAAATGCTTTAATATTAACGGTATTAAGCTGTGCCATCATACTTCCAGGCCATCTCCCATTCCTCTAGCATTCATTACACAGTTTTACAGTTTTACAAAGGTGTCTTTCATGTGTCTTTGAGAAAAAACTGAAAATCACAATGTTTTCTTTTCTACCAGTTTTTATTCATCTCATTAACAAAGTAATGATTGTAATGAGAATCGTAGCTCCAATTTGGCCTTAAAATGGGACTTTATCTTAGATGTGTTTTAGCTTTTTAGAAAGACAATAAATGTCAGCCTTAATTGAAAAGTACACCGAAGCTAGCCTAGTGGAATATAAATTAGCCCAGTGGAAGGGTTTCCCCCCACTTCAGCTCTGTAACTTCCTTAATCAATCTGGGATTAACCTAAATTAAGTGCATTTTAAATAGTGAGTTTAGGTTTCATTCCAGAACAAATTAAATTGAAGTTTGATTGACCAACCAAGACTCTGAGAGGGATGGCAATCAAAAAATGCAAATTCAGACCATCATTCATCAAATATTTATTTATAAACTGCTTCTCTGGCTGTAACAGACCAACACGCTCCCCTCCTGTTCTCTTGTTTTGTCTCATTTCTGCTTACTTTACTTTATCCATTCCTCCCTGTTTTATTATCGTTCCTTTCTACAAACATTCTTACATATTCAACTTCTCCATTTTTTTTTCACCGCAAACCCTTTCCCTTCTCTCTCTGACGATCCTCCTCTACCTCCCCCTCCCTCTGTCAGATGATCGACATGATGTATTTTGTGATCATCATGTTGGTGGTGCTGATGAGTTTTGGGGTGGCGCGTCAGGCCATCCTAAACCCTAATGAAGACCCGTCCTGGATGCTAGCTAGGAACATCTTCTTCATGCCTTACTGGATGATCTACGGAGAGGTGTTTGCCGACCAGATTGACCGTAAGTTCAGGGCCAGAGTGTCAGAGCTCTTGAATAAACATAGTTTTTGTTCATTTAGGGGAGAACGTTGCTGACTCTGAAGAGAGATGCAAGCAATGTGACCCAATACGCACCTATCTCAGTGCACAATTACCTTTTATTTTCATTCCATTCCTCCACAGGTTAACATATTACTGGAAGGTGGCCTTTTGTACGCATACATATTGAAACACCACAAGATACATTGCATAATGTTGAGTATAGGGAAATTCTTGACAAATGTTGTTTCTACATCACCATAGCCACATAATCTTCCTGTCAAGTTACTCAGCATCCAACATCAGGGCATTAATTTTACTGTCAGTTTGTCTTGATCTTTTTTGTCTCTATGTTATTTTATACCATGTAGACATAGTGACGTTTGACTCAATAAATCAAACATGGACTGTGAGAAAATGTCTTGAGAGTGAGAGTGCATTCGTGTGCTGTTCTGTCGTGTTTTTGTATGGTAGCATATTTGATGGTGTGTACAGAATGTGAGGAGTGGCCCAAAGAGAAGAGATCTGAAATAATGTTTTCATTCTTTGTTTCAGATAAGCATAATAGGAAGTTACAGCACAGGCTGAATGAAAAACTCTGGCTGGTCGAAAATTACTTGAGAACTCACGCAAGCTGGCGTAGTAACGGTCCATTCCACATTTCCCAGTGCAGTCAAAATCCCAGTAAATCAATAGATATATACCTCAATTTAACCACATCTACCTATCCCACCTCTCCTTCATCATCTTCACATTACCACCGTGTCATGCCCACCCCTACCACTAGAGACCACTTGAGACAAAAGTGTGCATGCGGCTCCACATGCTCTAAGGTTAAAGTTGCCCTCATGTGTTTTGTATTAGGTCAGCTACTGTATCTAAACAACATTTTCTTTAAACACCAGAATCTTGTTGTGAAAAAGTTCTGAAAGTGAATGACAGCCTGATTTAATGAGGCTGCCTATGTTCTCCAAATCTTTGATTGACTGACTAGTAGCTTGACCTAATGCTATACAATATCTTGTAAGCAACTTTACTCTTACTAATTTTGGCACTGGCTGGCAAATGCCACTGTTACATGGCAGTAGCACTTTTCAAATATGAGTTAATACTTCTATGGTCTGTGTTTATGGTCAGATGTCACATCAAGATAAGCTATCAAAGCTTAAACATTTGATATTTTCTTGATGTTTCTTCCATCCATTTTGTTCCTTGACTTTTCAGTCAGTTTCATTTGAAGAAGTGACCCTGCCATGTTAACACAGTCTGTCACATAAACCATGTCACCCTCCCTTTAACGCCGGCTCAGCTTCTCACTGGAGCAATTGCAACATTGCCAAAATATTTCTACCAAAAAAGCCAACATTTAACAGAAGTATTGAAATGTACATATGAACACCACACCATACAGGGATAAAACATAAATACACACACACACCAGAATATATTAATCAGCCACCTTTCATCATCAGTAATCTGTTTTTTCACGTGGTTCAGTTGTCAGAGTTTTTAATCAAAATTTTTGAAGGTAAAAATACAAAAAAATAGAAAAATTACTTCAGTTCTCTGTCTTTGGGCTGCACTGTGTGAAAAAATTTAACACCAAGCAATAATGAGCATGACTAGAATGAATCTCAAAGGCAAACAAACCAAGAACAAATGCTGAATGTTCCCCAGATAAGCCACAGCAACTGAACCATCACAGATGGAAAAAACATACTATGTATCCTAAATACATTTCAAATGATTCAAAGCAATCAACCATTGCTGAATGAAGCTATAGCACACATATGTGACAATATATTTTAAACATCCATTATATGTTTAAATATATTGGGAACACAAATTGTGATGAGACATGATGAATGCATTTTTTGTGTGTACTTTTTTTTTTAGATGCACATTTCTGAACATGAGCCCCGACCATTATAGTGTCCACTCTCTCTAGTCCCCTCTTTAAGAAGCATAAAGACAAATTATGCTTCTTGTTTGTTTGCAAAATATGTACTTATGCATTTTGTTTGGTATTTTCAGGTCTGCTTGTCTCTTGGTTATTGTTGTCTTGTCACTCAGTGTACATTATGTGCTTGAATGTTTTTGTGTTTAATTAATATTAATTTGCTTTTCATTTTATTATAGTTTTTTATTTACTGTATGCTGTATCTTCTGTTCATATTATTTGTCTGCATGTCTTTTTAATATGTTGTACATCTACATATTTATACTAAAAAATAACACATAAAAGTGTCTATTGACAGACATAATTTACCTTGTATTAACTCGTATGTGTGTGTATTTGTTTTGTGGCGGTGTGCAGCCCCCTGTGGGCAGAACATCACTACAGAGGATGGGGGTGTGGTGGCCCTGCCTGCCTGTAAAACGGGTGCCTGGATTGTCCCTGCCATCATGGCATGCTATCTGCTGGTGGCCAACATACTGCTGGTCAACTTACTCATAGCTGTGTTCAAGTACGTAAACTCCTTCCGCCTGTAACAAACTATACACACTGCACTGCTTTACACACATCTCAGGACCTGAAGCTTGCTTATTTAAGCACCGTGATGATAGAATTAATTTCTCTCTTTCCTTGAACACTCACAAAAACAGTATCACTAAGACCTGGATGTTACTCAAAGCAGCATCTAATTAACACAGTTTTAGACAAAACTGCCCTTTAGACACGTGTGTGTGTATGTGTGCAAAAAAAGAGATGACAGTAATTTCTGTTTAGGCTGCTATTAAGCCACACTCATTAGGGTCAAATTGTATCAGTAATGGGATGGCGCTTCTTCCACAGAGACATTATCATGCTAATGATCTGCTATTGTGCCTCTGAATAATCCATGTAGCAAGGATGATCATCCTTTTCTTTGCATTTGTCAGGTTAATTACCAAAAAGTACACAGTGCAAAAAACAATGGTTAAATGAAGGTTTAATCACATTACACGTTACAGCAACATGTTACATTTATTTATATCTCAGTATACTTGCAGTGCAGCAACATGCTAAGTGAAGGAATCAGTTCATCAATCTGTATACTATCTGAAGTGGTCATTATCTTTGTTGTGCCACTGATGACTTTACTTTTCAGTTCATTTTAGCTTTCAGTTGACGTAATATTTCTTGCTCGGTGTGGCATTTCTGTCTGTGATTGTGCGTCATCATAGTAATACATTCTTCGAGGTGAAGTCCATCTCCAACCAAGTTTGGAAGTTCCAGCGCTACCAGCTCATTATGACCTTCCATGAGCGCCCCGTCCTTCCTCCACCCCTTATCATCTTCAGTCACATAACTATGGTCCTCAAGCATCTGTGTTGTCGCTGGCGCAAGCAGGACGACGACGAGAGGGACTATGGACTGAGTGAGTGACAGATCAGCATTATTAAGCCTGATAAACTCAGGACGGACACAACAGAGCGAACAGCAATATTTTTATGTTGTAATTGATTCACATCACTGTTAACTTGACTATAATAGTGTTTAATATATATATATATATATATATATATATATTTCCTTATATATATATATACATATGTACATATGGTTTTAAGACATTGTAGCATAATCACTTCGTCAAACTCCTCTATCCACAGAACTCTTCATCACAGAGGATGAGCTGAAGAAAGTCCATGACTTTGAAGAGCAGTGCATAGAAGAGTACTTCAGAGAGAAAGATGACCGATTCCACTCTTCCAATGATGAGAGGATCAGAGTCACGTCTGAAAGGTCGGACATAGCCCCAGAGAAAACTTTTCTCTGCATTCTACCTAAAGCTTTCAGGCTGTGGACACTTGGTATAAAAATAAGTCCAGCGCTCTGTGTACGAGCACGAATTTTTCCCTATCTGGAAAATCAATTATTGGCAGTCTAAACCACAAGCTTTTAATGTACGTTACTGCAGTTTTGACACTTAAGCCTGGTTAACTCTAACCGTGTGTACTAATCCATTCTATCACCCATATTCTTTGTCTTTTCCTTTTTTATAATATATAAACCATAAAAATATGAACTATATTAAATAACTACACCTGTTTCTTTCGCGTTATTTCCCATGTCAAAAACAAGGAAAAAAAGCTATAAAATGGGGGAAATATTACTTAAAATAAGCAAAATTATCTGCCAACAGAACAAGAATATTTCACTTGTTACTTAAGGACAAAAAAACTTGAAACAAGTGAAATTCTCTAACATAAAAGCCGCCTGGTAAGAAGAATTATCTTGTCAGACAAAAAACAAGTATATTTTGCCTTCAGTTAAGATAATTAATCTTACTTAGATTTTAGTTTTTGCAGTGTGTTGTATTCAGTCATTGGCGTCCTTGGTGTGCTTTTCATTGCTTCTGTATTTCCTTAATATTTGTATTCCTTTGTGTAATTGTAGTTGATTTCTAGTGCAGCATACAGTGTATGTATGTTGGGACTTTAAATTGTCTGCCACCTGAATTCTCCACCATTCTCCCCTGCTATCCTCCCATCTCCTTTGCTTTTAATGCATTTTCTTTCCTCTCTTCTCTACTTTATCAGGGTGGAGAATATGGCAATGCGTCTGGAAGAAGTGAATGAAAGGGAACACTTTATGAAGGCCTCACTGCAGACTGTTGATATTCGTCTGGCCCAAATGGAGGAGCTGATTGGGCGAATTGCTGTAGCACTGGAGCGCGTGACTGGTGTTGAGCGAGGTGAGGTCAACAAAGTGCGTTCCCGGACTTCATCTGACTGCACAGACTCAGCATACATACTCCGCCAGGGTGAGTGCCCAGATGCAGCATACATCCTCCGTCAAAGCAGCTTTAACAGCACAGAAGGTAATGCCTATCGCCTGCAGGAGGCACTGGAGGGAACAGCTGAAGGCTCCATGTCCCCTCCTTCTCCTACTGGCATGGCTACACGGACAAGAAGCCACTCCTTTTATGTTGGAGGCGGTCGTGGTGGTGAACGTGCAAGTGGAGCTGAACGAGCCGAGAGCTTCTTCAAGGAACGCTCACTCAGTCTGCACCGAGCCAACAGCTCGCAATCCGTGTCCTCAACTGCCGCCACCAAGGAGTCTAAGCCCCTCCCCTTGGCGACGCTGTCAGTCTCCCAGCAGCACCGTCCATCGTCATGCATTGATATCTATGTCTCAACTTCTGAGGAGGTGGGGCCTGCAGAAGTCTTTCTGGATCCTCTCCGTATGGTCCCACAGCTCCAGAGAGACTCCTCGCTGCAGTCGGATACTATGGAGACGGTGCTGCCGGGAGGCCGGGACTTCAGCAGCGTTGCCACCAGCGGTATGGGCGATAGGCACTCGGAGGACGGCGCAGGCAGCAGCGGAACAGCTGGAGCCATTTTTGATGACAGTGCAGCTGCTGATTTGTCATTGTGCTCAGCCCACCTCTTACCAGACACCACTTTACCTCCTTGGGACATGGAACCTTCCCCACCTCCCTCGGCAGGGCTGCTTGAGCGCTCTAAGAGCAGCCGCTACCTCTCTACAGCAGGCACAGCATTCCTGGATGAGCCCCCTCTGGTCAAGTCCCACAGCCTCATGTTCACACCAAGAGGCTGCTACAGTGGTCTGGGGGCAGGGGTCCAGGTAAAAGCAGCAGAGTACACCAGCATCACTGACTGCATCGATACACGCTGTGTCTCAGCTCCATACACTCCTGCAGAACGCTCACACTCTCCCGGAGGATGCACCTCCTTCCCCTTTGATAAGCCCTCAGATATTGGTTCCTCTCACCCAGAGAGAGAGGCAGAGCTTAGTCACACAGAGTCTGATCCAGAGGACCCTGAGGACTTGATTCCGGCCCCTGATACCCCTCGTCTAGGGGGCCTTAGCGGGCCCAGTGGGACCCCTCTCTGCTCCCCCTTCTCCAGGCTGGAGCGAGCAAACAGCTGCTCCTCAGACGACTCCCATCCTTCCCTCACACTGGCCCCTCCGCACCGGAAGAGCCTGTCGGTGAGTGAGAGGATGGAGAGGGGACCGGGTCTGGGGGCAGACAGGGGGCCTGGGCCAGGGGGCCGGGGTCTGGCAGGAACCAGAAACCCCTTCCTCAGGAGCAAGTCTGGAGCACGGCCTGAAACAGCTAAGACTGACAGCCTCTCCATGAGAAAGCTGGCCACTCCGTCAGCTTTCCGCAGCTTCGATAGACAAAACTATACGTGACAAGAACACTGGTCAGCACACTCACACACTGATTGGACCAGGGAGGAAAACTGAGAGGGTCAAGGGCAAAAGTGAAAGCAGGGTGAAGTTGCCCATAGATGCTGATCTGGACCAGATCTACAGTTTTATATACTTACGTTTTAGGTTAGAAAAGGTGATAAAAGTTTATTTATAGTCAGCGCTGGAGGGCAACTTTACCCTGGATCAGGAGTCAGTGGGAGAAGGATGTCAGATGTAGGGGTCCTATTGTACACCAGTCAAAAACAAAGAGCTATGAATCTAGAGTAGTTTTTACCTCCTCTTGTAGCTAAATAACTCTCAACGGGGTGTTATGGCAATGGAAGGTGTATTTGTACTGTATGTCTTCCACCCACCACCTTTATGTCAAGTAGACATCTGTCACTGTGTTACATCACATATCAATCACGTTAGTCAGAGAAAGTGTACTGTTACTCCTAGCTGCATTAAAAGGTAGAAACTGTCAAGTCTGAGCGACAAAGAGTGAGGAGAAAGAAAGAAAAACAGCCACCTCATTTTGTCTTAGCGTAGAGTCATTACTGTCGCAAATCTTTCGCTTTAAATACATTTTCCTCTCTTCATATAATCCTAACTCCACTCTGTAAGACCCCAGCACTAGCAATCAGAAATAAGCTAACATTTCTGGCCGCTTCACAAAGGAATCAAGGAAGTTCTTGGAACCATCAGTAACTATTTCCCCTCTTGGTTGCACCAGAAATGATTGCTCTAACATGGCAACAACTTACCTCTGGATACACACTTTTCAAATAATAGATATGTATCTCTTTATTCAAAGGAATATCAAATTTGCCTTTCATTGTCTTTTGTAGCATAATTTACCTACAAAACATTTTTTATTTCTTTTGTCAGTTCAACTAGAGAAAGAAAGCAGTGTTTGAACATAATCCTGTCAAAAGGTCATTACTCTATAACCTGTCTCCAGGCATGGCTGTCAAGTGGAACAGTAAAATATGTGTTTATGTGCCACGTGATTAGAGTGAAAAGCTCGTTATCATGAACAAATGAGAGAGGAAATGTGTGACATGAAGACTGAGATTAGGTGACATCCGGTGTTACAGCTTAATGTTGGGGGCAGCACTGAGTCGAGGTATAAATCTACAGCAGGAAAATAACAGGATCAGGAGACAGAAGAGTTTAAATGATGATGATGTTTGCACACACACATATGCTGTCAGTGAAATCTTACACAATATGAAAATAAACTCTAGTTCAGACCTGATCGCTGAGAGCTTTAACAAGTGCAATTGACAGAAAAATGGGGACAAGAAGGCACATTGAGCCTATTTCAGAAGCAATGCTTGCTGAGTGAACCAGATATGAACCTTGTTTGCCTGCACCTGACACCAAAAATCTTTACACCTAACCAATCATTGCTCTCTTGTAGCTCAGCCTTCCTCCTTCAGGATTTGGCAGTGGTATTAACGTGGTTTTACATCCACCTACACCTAATGGATCCGTCCATCTGTTCCGTAACTGTCATTCATTTGCTTTTCTCCTTTTTTTCCTTTTCTTTTTATTTAATTTAATTGCGTTCAAAGCCAGCCACTGCAAAAGGAGAATTTAAAAGGAAGCAAATGACCGATGACTAAGCCCATTATAAATCATATACAGGTCAAGAAGAGTTCCTAAAGAAAGAGCTAATTTATGATTTTTAAAGCTTGACATAAGCTGTAAAGTATATGCATTATAGCTAAGAAATATGAAAGATGTGCATTTTAAGTGGCATGCAGGATGAAACATGGTGTTTTTAATATTCTAAGATGAAAGCCAGATCAGTGTTTAAAATTTTTCTCATTTTTTTATTCTGATGGAAAAAGTCTGGTGGGAGGAAGAGGCCCTACTCTGATAGCTTTGTAAAGATAAGTGAAATTACAGATTACAGATTTTTTTATGTTTCTTTTTATATTTCCTCACTATTAAATTCAGTTTAATCATGTTGCATTTATTTTGAGATTGATTCTATTTATTGACATTTTCTTGCTCACTATTGATTATTACAGTAAATGCCTGTTTGAATTACGAAATCAATATTTATATCTTCTCAGTGATATTTTTGTCAACTTTTAAGTATTTTCTAATTAAGCTTTTAAATTTAATAAAAGATGACCATCGACATGCACTAAATGCTGATGTATTATATTATTTATTAAATATAGAATTGTCTGATATACTGTACATTTAAATCATATTTGAAGTATTTAAAGTAGTTTTTATTGTATGTTTTATCAAGCAGCTCATGAGAATTTTCTAATGAAAAGTTGACAAGGCAATACACTGTTGCCAGTATACTAAACTTAGGGTGCCTTTTGGGCATGGATGGAGTAAGTGATTCAGAAACCTGTGAAATTTCTCATTTTTTTAGTTTTTTCCCTAATCATAGAGCCCAAATATCTGTGATTATTTTCAACATGTGGCTTTTGCATACACACATAAACCCTTGTTGTTCTCTATAAACACATCTGATGTACAGAGTTGGGGGGGTGGGTGGTGTTATTATTAGTAGACTGTATTATTGCTTGTATGGACATTTATTTGAATCTGCCAAAACACATAAAATGATCTCACTGAGAATCATTGGTGAAGAAAAAAGTCTATTTGCACATGAAAGCTGAGACATAAGGATGAGGATATAGCATCACCATACGGTTGCTGTTGTTGCAGTAACTCTATGTATTGCTTGAACGTTTATCATTTAACTTATCTCTGTGTGACAATTTGACTTATCCAAACTGTCCATACATCTATCAACCCTGACCCAACCCTCAAACCTTAAACAGGTGCTCCGGTGATTTAGGTACTGCACTTCGGCAAAGTTGGGTTACTTTCTAGAGCCAGATTTTAATAAAATGAATAGTCAAAACTGAAGAAACAGAGGAGGCTGCGATATCCTGACTTTTAGTGTGGGTCATGATTTAAGAACACTGGGTCCTACAATTCCCATAGTGCAACTCAACATCTTTTGATAGACCTACCCTGACTGTTAAAGGCACTCCTTACTCCTTACCGCCAGTTAGTAATGCAGGTTGTCTGTGAAATATTTTAAGTCTTAAGCCTAACTGAACATAACTTGATGACATCATCGGGATTATGTGGACACATGATTATTTTGGGCAATGTAGGTTGGACAGATTGGGGAGTAACACTTATATACCTATAAGATGGCAAATGGGATGTTGTAGCCCGTCGATACGTTCAAAGAATCAGACTTGCAATTTCCTGAACGAATATGTAGGTTACAGTGTGTTTTAGAGAGGAAAGGTTGACCCCAAGTCAATGCTCAGGGACAGCGTTACCACAGTGATGCAAGATACGAAGTATATCATGGTGGGAAGAAAGATATAGAGAGAATGGAATTAGTATTTAGCAGAAGGCTTCCAATATGATCACTGTGCTTTATGAGTCTATCCCAGAGTCCATGAGGATCTTAGGGAAATCTATGTATTTTGTGTTGTATGTTTTCAGAAATGGCAATAGAATATGAATGAATGTCTTCATACATGATCGATTGACATTGTTCACCCACAGGAGTTTAAGTTCTTAATCCAAACAACAAGAATTACATTTTGTTAGAGAGGGCTTTGGTCACGCACAGTTGACCCTCAAACACTGAACCAAACCAAACTTTGCCAAAGCAGATGGAGTTGTGCTTTACTGACCGGCCTATACAGCTGTGGCAGACAGGGTTAGCCAAGCAAAGGTCGTACAGCTCAACTCAGTTTTGCATGGCTAAACAGGATGACTGTGTCGGACTGAAAGTTTAGGCCCTCCTATTTGACCTTTTGTGATAGAAAAATGAAATTATTCTTCTTTTTATTTTTATTTCATCCTTGCAGTAAGGAATATGAGATAGTATACATGTCCGTAGCATTTCTAAACTCGTGTGAACATGATTCTATAAATGGTTTTGTGAGATGTTGACATGACTGTTGTGGAAGGTATTGATGGGAGGTGTGCGTGTGTGTATATGTGTGTGAACCCGGACATGTGGATGACACCAGTAACAGGGAGGCATGCCGACACAACATAATCCAACAGATTCTTAATGTACAGTATTTTTGAAATATTTTCCTATACTGTATCTTACAGTTTTGTGGAATCATGAGCACATGATGATAATCAACATATCTCCTTCCCTCCTGTGACAACCTGTGAGTCGTAAGCTAAAGAGAGTTTCACGCACATGTGTTTTTCTGCAATAACTGCTGATGTTACGCTTCTACAACTGAAAGGGACATACCCCCCTACTGGTTACACTTTATTTAATGTCCTTCAAATGCATGCAGTTCTTCCACTCAGAGTGTACAGAAATGACCTGTAAAGATGACTGAGAGAAATATAGAGAGAGATTATAATATGAAATCAAAGTAGTGAGTATTTGGATGCAAATACAAATCTGTATTCTTCAATGTGAATAGGATCATGTCTGGCATGCATTGTTAAATAAAAAATTAAATAGATTGGTACCTCGTGTCTCGCATGTTTTGACTTCACCGGGATCTTTATTAACCAATCAATGACAAAACGATTGACTCTTATTGTGTGTGTGACTGAGAATTGTAAGTAATGTCATGTCAGTTTTAGTAGTAGTGCTATAACTACTGATTCGTCACTATTGATTATTTTCTTGATAAATCAGTTAGTTGTTTGGTCTATAAAATGTCAGAAAATTGTGAAAAATGACATTGATGGCACCCTCAAATGTCTTGTTTTGTCAACAACATAAAGATATTCAGTTTACTGTGAGAGGAGTAAAGAAACCGCAAAATATTCACATTTAAGAAGCTGGAATCAGAGAATTTTGACTTTTTTTCTTGAAAACTGTTTCAAACCGATGATTTGATTATCAAAATAGCTGCTGATTAATTTAATAGTTGATAACTTATCGATTAATCATTGCAGTTCCATTTAGGACTTTAAGATTCATAGTGTTGTTTATAGCTTGTTGGACTAAACTTTTGTGAGCTTCAAACTAGGCTCAAGAGCCCAGTTTGTAGCTCACTCATAAAACATCAAAAGCACACAGTGTGTAAATCATCACGTTTCGAGGCACATAACACGTGCTGTACTGCCGTTAAGGCAGGATGTCAGCCCCCCCTTGCTGCTGGTGAGATGAGGGGGACAGGTGCTGCTTGGTGGACTGTCATTTTTTAAAACTTGACCCACTGCCATGAGGCACAAACACAGCCTTGACTTTTTCCTGAGAAGAGAGAAATATTGTGTGATGTGTTGTAAAATGTACAATTTGTATAATTTATTTCAAGACAATTGCCACGTTTTCTGCCATTTGGAAACATTTTTACACACATCACTTCTTCATGGTACAGCTCTGGTCCTTGACTCTGGCTGGCTGTGTGGGTTTTAAAGTATGTGCATTGGTGTGCTAAATTAAAAAAAACAGCTCACAACCTGAAAAACACCACTTCAACAAGACTGCATTCATGTGTGTGTTACTTTGCAAAAACTTCTTTAAGAACACTAACCTGCATTACAGGTGGTACTGGGGTGATTAATGTTTCCTTTGTAAAGCACACAATGTTCTAAATGTTCACTTTCTTTGTTGATACTATTCCATTGTTTGAAGTGACTGATATGGCTGCATTTAATAGTAAGTTGTTCCTGTTAGGACAGTAGTAACAAAATCTTTTGGCACCACTACATATGGCCACAAAAATCACCCCCACACCTCTTTTACTCTCTCTGCAAAACTGACTAGCTTCACGTTTTCTGTGTTTTATTGAATTGCACCTATAGTCCATAATATTAAAACGCAGAAAGTGCTGTATAACAAGTAGGCTACTTACTTAATTTAGGAATTTGAGTACTCCCCCCCCCACTGCATGCATTAAGTGTACTACTGTTAGACTAGGCCTAATAATTCGTTTACATGTATCCTAAATGCAGCATTTTAATGTTTTAGCATTTGTTTTTTCAACTACTTAGCTCGTTTCCTCTGTAACAATGCATTATATTACATGAGCTGATTATTTACAGTGTGTATCTGTAAGGACGCCTGTCAGCGCACTCCGCACGTGGAAAGGAACATTCTGTACTGAGATTACGCACGTGCCCCCTCCACCCCCTCTCTGATGCAGCACGCGCAGGCGCCCGCAAACTAAAACAGCTTCATCTCTGACACAATCACCATTTCATGTAAACATAACAACATGACCCAGATGCGCCGTGCACTCTTGAACTTTTGCGCTGTTGTGAGAAGACAAGCGAGAGGCAGCAGCGGCAGAAGCAGAAGCACCTCCTCTTATGAAGAAATGTTTACAGCTCTGCTGAAGGAGGAGCTGGAGGGCGGCTGCAGGCTGTACCCGTCCGGCCAAGGAACTGTTTTTCAGCCAGATATTTCCTGGAAACGTGGCTGTTCTGCCACCGAATCGAGCAAGGTGGAGGCGGGGTTCCAGTACGGGACGATCCGGGAAAAAAGGGCGAGAAGTTCCTGCAGTGTTGCCGTGCACGGCATCTGTTGTGCTCAAACAGGGACTTTGTGTTATCACCCCTGCTTTTCTTGAACCTTTCCTCTTGTACATTTTATCACTCATATCGTGTGAGCACTATAATTTAAGGGATCACGATAAATCTGCTATTAGACAGTGAGTCACTGCTGCAGCCAGTGCAGACAGGATAAGATGTGTATTATTGCAGTTTTTTCTGGAGGGGCGTGACACTCTTTGCCTGTGGTGAAATGCTGCTACATTGTGACATTCTTACGGTTTAAAATGTATAGAGTAGTCTCACAGCCACATACTCGTGATGTATCTTTGAGGAAAGCACAGTTGCATCTGACTTTGGGCTGTGTGCAACAAAAGTGCAGTGTCAATACTTTGACTGACTGAGCCACTTCATTCTCATGTAAACAGCCCCAGGAAGAGCATGTATCCTAATAATGTCTACACAGAGGCACCATTGCTCAATTGCAGCTCCCACAAAGCAAAGTGGGATTTTCTAGGAACTTTACCCATGAAAAACCACCCAGGGCACTGGAAGACCCCCACCCCCACCTCTGGCTGAGGGTGTCATTACACTCTCAAGTAAACTGACTGCATAGCCTCTCTTGCAGAGTGTTTATATAGGCTTATATATAAATATAAGCTCTTGAATGTCCATGTATTGTTAGACGCAAGATTAGTAGATCCACTTAACACCTCTAGACCGCACTATAAAACCCTGAGAGGGAGAGTGCAGAAGTCCACTACGAATGGAAGTGTTGAGGCACAGACGAAACAGAACTGCAGCCTTGCTGAAAGAACATGTCTCATATCTTTCTCGTGTGGAGATAGCAACAACACACAAAACTGACACTGACAGCATAAAATTTCATCTGCACGGAGGTGTTTGAGGTCTGCCCTAATTTAGGATCAGACCATGGTTTTGAAACTAGGACACAAAGTGGGAGCTGGCTGCAGCTAATGCATTATGGGTCGGTTGGATTCTATGAAAACAAACATATGTCTCTCTTGTCCTGACAGATTTATGGGTCATCCCCTAAATCCTGATGTGTCCGCTATGCTTGGATGCCACTACAGCTGCTAGTAGGTGCTGATGTATAATCTGTCAGAAACCGTACTATCGTCAGGCTTTACCACTCAGTTTCTTTTTCCAAATGGACAACTACTCAGTTAGGCCCTATTTTCAAAATACAGTATGGTAATCTAACCCGTAAACCCGGAAATGCTATGATGCCAAAAAATAAGGATTTACATAAACGTACCAGATAAACGTAAACAATTGCTGCCTAAAGTACAAAAAGCATAGGCCATATAAACGGACTGGACTAAAGAACAGATGCATTATTGTACAACTCTGCCCTTAACCTGAACTGATTGCATGGTTTGACCTTCACTGATTCATACGCTGCAAGCGGTACTTCAAGCAAAACCAACCTCGGACTGCAGACTCTGTGGTCAGTATGGCCTGTGATCTGATGCAGTGCATCTAATTTCTGCTCTTTGGCAATTCTAAAGTCTATTGTTGTTTTTCTCCGTTGTTCTCGCCCACAGTCAGTGTCCACTTCGTGATCTTGCCTATGGTGGATTTAAAATAAATGTAAATCCATTCATTTCTCCTCTAGCAAGCTTCTTTAAAAATATGGCAGTAAAAACACACGCATTAAAATATAATCATCATAATATAAACAGGCTTCCGCAAGAAACGGGTTTCTTCAGAATGAGGCAACAGTTTGGTTCCTAGGGTATAGGGCGTGACGAGTTAGTGTACCCCGGTTGAGATGCTGCATTGGAGTGCTTTTCCAAGGCATGTCGTAAATATGTGTTGTGCATGGCAGGTAATAGCTAAATGGACCAGTCAAGCCGCAGACAAGAAACATACAGCCCACTATGCTTTGAGTTGCTATGTGAGAATGAATAGCTGTATAGCCTATAGCGCGCATAAATATATATATCCTGTATATGCGTGCTATATGCGACTGCAGGCTATATCATTTCCATTCGTACGGATGCAACATTGCCCACATTCCCTAGTCACCTTAAGTTCCCGAAGGTAGCATCAATGTGGGCTTGCTCTCTTCCACCAATACCTGCCTCTGATTGGCCCAGTGTTCCATCACTCACAAGTTCCAAAAACGAGTCACGTTTCCTCCCAGCCAATCACAGCCCCGTTTTCTAATGACGCCGCGGGATTCCGCGAAATTGTTTCTTGGAGTTGGGAGATGTGTCGCTCTCAGTGAAATAGGACAGTTGACGCATGTGTGGGAGCGCACAGAAAGGCGGAATAAACGCAGACACAATAGCTCGGTCGGTTAAACGCTGTCTTATTAATAAGGCAGTTAGAAAAAAGGGATTTATAGGGAGAAGCATAGAGGAAGCGCCGGGAACGATTGTAAATCCTGTCTGTCCTGTGGGGGTGTTTATTTATCCCCGCAACCTCAACAGGAAAACGCAGCATTTGCGGAATAGCCACATCGAAGACGACACGTGTGGATGGTTAACCGCATGTTTCCTGGCAGGACTGCGGTCTGATTTCTTTATTGTATCCATTTTGTCGGATTGTTTTTGAATATATACAGCTACCCTAGATACACTGCTTTCTTTTCCCCATCCGGATCTGCTGTAGTGATGTCGGAGGTCGACGTCTCCGCAGACTGTCTCCCCAGCCGACCACCGGGTCGGACAGAGGACATGTTGAAAGAGAACCAGGAGAACAGGACTTTGCTGATGGTGGCAATGATTTTACTGGACTTGAACAAATGTAACCCTAACGCTATCAGCGCCGGAGGCAGCGACGCCGGCGCGCAGGGAAAGGTAGAGCTGGGGAGTTGCCGGTTGAACGCCGGGGACAGCCGGGACTCAGTGGCTCCCAAACAGTCCCGGAACAAGAGGGCGGAGGCGGCGGCGAGACAAGAGTTTCCTGAGAAAAGACATTGCTGTCCCTTTACTGGCTGTGGAAAGATGTACGGCAAGTCATCCCACCTCAAAGCCCATCTAAGGGTCCATACCGGTAAGTGGAGGTTCTGCTGGAGGCGTGGGCGACAATAAGCCAACGAAACTAATGGGATCGATTCTGTTGACGACAGCAAAACCGCTCTGGGCCTCTTCTGCCATCATTTTGTTTTTGTTTTTTAATGCCCCATTACTGTTAAAACCCTGTCGGTTCTGAGGATGTCTGGTGGGCACATGTGTATATGAGTGACATGTCAGTCTGTCTACATTTTAGAATGGCTGTAACAGAAAATAGTACCCCAAAAATGAAGAGGTCGTTATAGATTTAATATTTAAGAATATGATAGGCACGTTTCGTGTTCTAGACTAGACCTACAGCCCATGTTCCGTCTGTGTGGTGACAGGGGTTAAGTGAGAGACCACATGTTCCTGCAAATAAATAACAGATTATAGGAAAGGCGGTCCTGTGAATTTGCCCCTGCTGGGGGTCTGACTGTGACTGACCGGCCCATAGCGGAACAGATACTGACTGAGCGGGGGGAGGGGGGCGTATTTTAATGTGCTGTTGACACGCAATAATTCATGGATTATTTGGATATCTGATCGTATCCAAATGATGCCTCGAATGCTTGTTGTTAGTGTTATTAACCTCGGGTTATCTTCCAAGAGATGAATCTGTTTTACATGCATCAGGGCTTTGTAATAACACGAGGGTAACAGTAGCCTAAATACCGAAAGCTTAGCATCTGATTCACATGCAGGTCACTGCGACACTGTTTGTCCCCACACGTTCTTGTCCGTGTCCGAAGGTAACCCTCCCTGCACCACCATTTCCTCATACGTCACCGCCCCTCCACTCCCCTCACACCGGGTTGTAAACAAGGGCAGACATGTGGTTCAGTCGAGCACGTGGAGGAGGATGAGGGAGCCATAGCTGTTTTTTTCTTCTTTTCTTTTTTTTTCATTCACTGGGCTCTTATCGTGACTTACCATTTTAAGTCAATGTGTTCTGTAATAGTTCCTAGAAATGCTGTTTAAGCAGGCCCTCCCAAAAGTTTGATTTGCTATAGGAGAATAAAAAAAACCCAACCCATGCAGTCTTTTTGTGAAGTCTGTACTTTGTCCTCCTCTCACTTGATCAATTTTGTGTCTGTGTGTTTTTAATAAAAACGTGAACACAGATTAGAGTAAAGTTTATAGATGAGGTGTTGCACTGATAAAGACTAACCCTAATGTTCTGTGTGTGTTGTTGTTGACAGTGCTTTTACACAGCTCTTTACCCATTTGTATTTCTGTTACCTGAAAAGTTCATAAGTTCATAAGTCTAACAAATTTGACCACCCAAAGGTCTATTTGACCTCAAACCCAAGTAAGATCACTATGGAGGATAACATGCAGTACATTTCTTGTCTGTGAATGAATTTTCAGCAAACAAAAGCAAAACGGTTATTCATATATAGCACCGATAGCATATTAAACATTTCTTCATAATAACAATGTTTGTATTTTGTCTCCTTTATCCTCAAATAATAAGAAAGAGAAGTCAATATGAACTAACACAGGGGTTGGGGTTGGAGTTTATACACTTCTAAATGCAGTCAAAGGAAAGTCCTTGAAAGTGCACTAATACAAAACTTGTTTCCTCAGGTGAGCGCCCCTTCGAGTGTACCTGGCCAAACTGCGGCAAGAAGTTCTCCCGATCAGACGAGCTGACGCGTCACTACCGCACGCACACCGGCGAGAAGCGCTTCAACTGTCCAATGTGCGACAAGTGCTTCATGAGGAGCGACCACCTGACTAAACACGCCCGGCGACACGCAGGCTTCCATCCCAGCATGCTCGAGGGCTCCAGTGCGGCCAAGAGACGCCGCTGCTCTGTGTCCGTGTGTTCCTCTGACTCTGGAGACCAAAGCCCTACTGGGATGTGAGACACACCCACATACTGTACATATAGGCTATGGATAAAAGTACATGCGGTAGATAGAGAAGCAGACACAAACACAAACACACCTGCATGTGTGATGTGTGCACCTTTACACACCTCAACCAGCCAGACCACTATTTTAAGCTTTTCTGTCTATGCATGTAACGTTGTGCAACAGAGCAAAGAGAAACATACGCTTGAACCTGACTGTAATCAAACTAGAACGTCCTCCTCTTATTCCCTGAGATGATTGTTATTTATTAAGGGTTTTTCAGGGTGGTTCTAGTTGCTTTGCTATTTGTGAGGAGTTTTACTTTGTGCTGTGATTTTCTTTCCTTCCCTGGAAAAATCTGCAATCCTAGAGGCATTCATGTACATTTAGTTTTCATGAACACTACATGCGTTCACTTTGCATCACAGTTTTCATTTGTGGGTGACGACAAGAATAAGAAAACAAATTATGACTGAGATATTGTGGGTTAAGACGTTTTGGGAATAATCGGCAGTAAATATTACTGTTGCACACATGCACTATACTAGTACAGTTACTCTCCTGTCCAGGACAAGGCAAATGTACAGTATAGCAGTATTATCATGTAAATAGATTAAACAGACTACCTTTTAAGATGGGTGATATACTCAGTATGATGTAGTTGAGTATTATTATAGAGTAATAAGACAAAGATATATATATATATATATATATATATATATATATATTATAGAGAATTGCAGAGCTTGGGTATTTTATTTCATATATTTGGCCATAGACATAGACTCAGTAAATCAGGTACACTGTGAGCTAGGTTTAGGCAGCACGTTTCCTGTGTTGAAACACAAATGTTGTCACATCATGATGAATGTTTTGATGCAATTATTTGCAAATTCATCATGAGATACTATATATATATGTTTCAACATACTGTTGCTTTTTCAGGCTCTTGAATTGTATCAATAGTGCAGGAAAACATAACAGGGTAAAGGTAACAGGTAAGGAAAGTAGACTTTACTTTTTCACCTGGCTGTTAAAACACTTTTTAGTGTTAAGACCATAATGATTCATGTTTAGTTAAAGATTGTAAACAAGGACGTGTGTGCCTTTCAAGGGTTTTGTAGCAAAGAGTAATTTCTACATTTTCAACCTTGAAGAAATACTACCTGTATGAACATCATCAGATTCTTTATGTTGATATTCAATAATACTTAGAATATCAATGACTGTCTCTTATGCCAACAGTGCCAGTTGCTGTACATTGAAACTTTTGTTTACTCTGTATCTGGAATGCATTTTATCAGGGAATAATGCCATGCATGGTCAATTTAGTCAATATTTCACCCCGTGGTGGTGACATGGAAGCACAACATTTCTCACTACAGAAAGTCATAAAACCCCTTTTTTATTTTCTGTCCTAGCATTTTGAGGCGCGCTCTGTTTATTACTTTGTTTGTGAATCAGTGAATTACATCATGTAGCATGTTCTGATGTATTTGTTTGGTACAATGTATTTTTTAATTGTCTGGTAATCTTTTGTACTATTGCTAATGGGATTAGAGGTCTCATTTGTCCACTACAGGAGCCAGAAACATTGTTGATGTCATTAGTTTAATTTTTATACTTGCCACATAATGCATTAACATGTCCAGATAAGGTGTAAAGTTATGTGTAGTTAGGCTCAGAGGACATAAACTACTTACATTTGTAAAGTTAAATATTTTTCTTTTCTGGCATTATGACAACTGTGATTAGATGTCGGTGCCTTTCAGGTTGAAGCCCTTACTTCTGATGCTACTGTACTGTAATCTGGGACTGTCAACGCAGACCCCATGTTATCACAATATGCATAGCTGTGTAATAATTACTGCTCAAAAGTTTTAACATTAAAATTATTTTTCTTTCTAAACATTTGCTCTTCATTTCTGTGCCACATCACACAACCATATCAGACACTATTTCACATGTTTTATAAATGAAGAAGTACTAGTGTAAAGAAGGTGTAACAACAAAAACAGAAAGATTGAACAGGGAGTGCTCCATTAGCTTTGTGTTTATTATTGTTTTTATACACCGCACATAACAATAACATTGTTAAATACTGTAATGGAAGTGTTTACAATACAAGAAAATCATTTTTTAAAAAAAAAGGAAAACCAAAGAAAGAAAAACAATTATCACCCGTGTGTAAATGTAAAAAAAAAGAAGCATAAATTCATAGACAGCAAATGCTCTTCAAATAAACTAAATTATCAAAACGGCAATAAACACACACATCTTTTAAACTTTTCTGTACTTAAGGCATACTCTAACTGCAAATAATCAGCTGATTTAGGGGATGGGGAGAGTCGTAAATTAAGGATATTAGTGTTCCAAGTCAACGATCCTTGATGTTGTAATTACAAAACAATTTCCAACCTATTAGTCAAAAGAGACAAATAGATGCCATCTCACTCTTTATGTTGTCATTGTATGTCTGTATGCATGCATGCGTGTGTGTGTGTGTGTGTGTGTGTGTGTGTGTGTGTGTGTGTGTGTAAAAGATGACAAAGGGTTTCTGGTGTTTGAATCTGTGTGCTCCCTTGATGATCTGTAGGGTGGAAACAGAACTGGGAAGAAGGGAGTGTCCAGTGATCATCAGGTTCTGTGACACTAAGAGAAGGTATAATAAAGGGGTACACAAAAGAGTGTGTTGAAAAAATCTGTCTAAAGGCACCCCACCATCCCTTTGGCCTTGATAATATGTGAATCATGTGAGTATCATGTGTTAGAGGGTCGGTGCAACATAATGTAATCTTCCCTTTTGACACAGTTCATTTCAGATAAGACACTGTCACTGCGAAGCAGGAAAGAGTTCACGGATATGGCCCCAAAAAATGAAAAACAAAATGTGCAAATTCAAAACAATAACAAGTCAAGCTAGAGCCACAACAGTAGCATGTGATTGCACAATAGAAATGCAAAATCAAATGTGCAACAGGCTACTTATTACTTTCCATTCAATAATTCAGTCCAGTGCTTTTCATGCAGTTTGTTCCTCAGCCATTCATGTTCATTCATTCATTCCTAAACTCTATACTGACACATCTCAAGCCAGTAGGGCAACAAAAGCAAAAGTGTTGAAGGTGATGTGAATGAGCGCAACGACCTGGCCTGTGCTACAGTGCTACAACCCTGTACAGTACAACGAATACAGTACCAGATATCCTCTATTTGGGTTACCAAGTCCGCAGTCCGTGCTTCTAAAACATCTTCATGTCAACACATACAATCATACCAATCCCTCCGGTTTAAAAAAAAGTAAGCATTTAAACAAAAACAACTAGAAAAATGCAACCAGAATTCGGTAAGCAGAACAGTTGAGTCAGCAGATATGATAATGTTTCTTATTCTTCAGGGAAATGGAAGTCACTTTACAGCATCAACTGACCTTTTGTTTTCTGTCTACCAATATCAGTGTGTTATATGTTACATCATGTTCACCAGGAGAAGGGCTCTCAAACACAAGTGTACGTCCTACCATAGGAGGAAACCACCACTTTACTCATATTTTAAATACATATTGAATATCTTCATATGTGTTCCTTCTCCTAGATTTTAAACCAAACCTTCTATATGTTATTTTGATTATTTCTCATTGTCATTATCATCATAGCACTTAACTGTCATTACAATACTCTACCAATGCTTCACTGTCGCCACTCTGGTGGCGAAGTAAACTCACAGCAGATGAAGATTGGGGGGTTATACTGTGTGGAAAGGAGAAAAGGCAGTAGGTCTGAGGGGCGGGGTTACTGTATTTGACAGGTGGTGGAGGAGGTTGCCTGGCAGCACATGCAGGTAGGGTTGACTGATTTGGGCGGGATCAGATCCAGGTCCTCATCATCTGGGATCTCGTCTAGGCGGTAACCATCTTTCAAAAGCTGGATGTTCAGATCCTGATTGATTTGCTGGAGAAGGGGAGGAAAGACAGAGGAGGTTGATGGGTTAGAGAAGTGTATCTCAAACTCAGGGCTGAGGACTAGAACCGGGCTACAAAGCATTTGCTACTGGGCCACAAGGAAAAGATGTGATTCTGCAAAAAAAAATCTGAACTTTATATGCTATTTCACTTCCTGTTACTCCCAGAACAATTGATTATAAACTAAAGTAGGTCATCAGTATGTGAGGTATGGAAGCCCTAAGCAGCCATCGATTCAAACATTTTTTTACTCTTTCCCGTGATAACAAGATAATTAGCTCATGATCTTGAGATAACAAATGTTGTTTTCCCGTGATAACAGGATAATGTTCTTGTGATCTCAAGATAACAAAACAGTAGTTTAACATAGTGGTTTAATGGTAATTTCACAATATATATTATATCACTGGTTAGCTCAGTTGGTAAAGCACAAGACTTATTCTCTTGGAGTTGGGGGTTTAATCCTCTCAGGAGACTGCCTTTTTTTTTTTCATAATCCTTTTCAACAAAGTTCTTATGAAGAGATGGCGATTGGTCCACATCCATCAACCTATGGACTTTTCATTTCCCCATCATTCCCAGGCAGAGGAAATTCCTGTGCTTCTCATTCAGGGGAATCCATTTAAGGTTTTCCTGACGGCTTTCCTGAAATAGCCATTGGGAAATGTGTGATTGGATTCCCCTGAATCTCTTCATAACAACTTTTTTGAAGAGGATAATAAAAAGACACAAAAGAAGAAAAAAATCAGTTATTGAGAGCAGGAGTCAAAACTGCAATCCTTGGATTGCAAGTCCTGCACTCTACCAGCTAAACTAACCAGCCACGCTGTAAAGCACTCTGAAATTATCATAAAGAAACACACTAGCCGACCCCTGTATTCAGCTATGGTTTGTTATTTGAGATCACAAGAAAATTCACAGGAATACAGAGTAAAATAAATATTTGAATGGATGGCCGCTTAGGACTTCCATAGTGAGGTAATCAGTCCATCATTACTTACTCAATCTGCATTCTTCTACCAGGCTTGAACCCAACAAGTGCAGACATGTTGTAGCTTTGGGCTGGTTTTGGGTCGAGGTTTGCTTATTTACAAAGGAAATTTATTAAGAACTGTATCTGTGGTGATCATCTGCTTCCATGTCTGTCATGCCATCCAAGATACACAATGTCCAGTGGAAAGAGCTAAAGAAACAGGTGTGTGTTTCAAACAGCTTACCGTTTTATTTATTTATTTTATTTTAATTTTTAATACTTCTTCATTATTTTTTTTTTTAACACAAACACACACGCTTTGAGTACTTTATGGGATTGATTGTTCTTATGCTGTATGTATGATGCTTTGGCAATATTGTTGTTACATATTCATGCCAATAAAGCTAATTTGAATTGAATTGAAACATAGTTAAGTTTATAGTTAAGTGTAGTTAACGGGTTGAATTAGCCTAGTGGGATAGCAGTCACTAATGAATGAAAGCAAAAATAAACACTTCAGGTATTGGTTTAAATTCGCTAGCACTAGTTGGGTTTAATTGGGTCGAGTCCTAATTTTAAGCCAGAACACAAAAACATTATGAAACTATTTGATAGAGCTTGAAGATAGTTTGACATTTTAGGGAATATGCTTACTTGCTTGCTTGCAGAGAGTTAGATGAGAAGATCAATACAACTTTCAAATCTAAGCCATAAATATGAAGCTAAAGCCAGCAGCTGGTTAGCTCAGAACAAAGACTGGAAACAAGGAAACAGCTAGTCTGACTCTGTACTAATGTAACAAAATCTCTAAAACTCACTAGTTAATGTTATATATTAAAAACAAATTACATTTTGCCATTTTATTGGGGGTTTTGTACCAACAAACCTGTCTGTCCTCTGACTTTATCAGCTATATATCTTACAAATCTTAATTTTTCTGAGCTCATGACTTAGACTGGGTATAATTTACAATGGTAACCATGGCAAACTGAGTTAAGGCACTTTCACAGATGGCTGTGAGTTTTGTCATGAACATGATGACTACTGTCCTGGTGTGATTTTGTATTTGCAAAACAATGCCTTTGTTTCCATGCAAAACAGAAACATTCTCTTCTCATTAATTCTCAGCATTTACCTTTTATGTGTGAACTGCCTAGTCTTCTGTATTACCTGTATACTTTACTGAATTGCAACAACAACCACAATTCACTACTCTGATAAAGCTACAGTACAATTATATGGTAGCCATGGTTTATTGCTTGCTCACAATTTGCTGTTAATTGCTAGTAGAAAGAAAGAAGAGATAATGGCTAAACCGGGTTACCATATTTACTGCATATTAGCTAATTATTTCTGACAACATGGTGGACAGCCTGGACTTGTTAGAGACAGAAAATGGATGTAGAGGGTGGGAATGAGGATTCCTCGGGGAATAAATATGATGACGTGTCTGTGATTTATACTTATATAGGCAGCAGTGTTGAAAACAGGATTTTCAGGAGCAGACACCCGGAGATGATCTCATACACATTTGTGTGCAGGTGTGTCTGCAATGTAATCATGCACTTGTAGCGAGCGCACACGCCTACGGAATTAACATTTATGAGCAGGATGGATATAAATGGGTTTGCTTCAAGATTGGCTTATAAAGACCTAACTCTTGGCCTCTTTACAATCATGGAAAATGGAGGGAAGAAGACGAGGGAGTGAGTGAATGAGATGAAGGGGCAGATATTTGCTCCATCACGTATCTCACCTCAGCAGAGGAGTATCCCGACGATGAGTATCTAGACATGTCAAAATCATCATCACTGAAACAAAAATACAACAACAAAAAAGAATGTTAGCTTATTATTTGTGTTTTTGGGATGTTAATGTGGAAAGAATTGTATCGATGTGTGTGTCTGCGTTCACCTGTCTGTGTCTAGGGCCACCAAGGGCTTCTCATCTGGGCTCTGGTCTAAAGAGGAATAGC